CAGTTCGCCACCAGGCAGTTCTCCCCCGGGAAGTTCGCCACCAGGTAGCTCATCACCAAGGCACGTCACCACCAGGTCAAACACGAGGTACTTAGCCAAAAAATTTTACACATCCCAAAAAATGGTACGTGACCAAAAACGGTTACATCAACATCCTTTGAGAATGTAAGGGCTGATTTAAATTCCAAGAAACTCGAGAAAAAAGTGTAAGCGAATGACGGTGGTGATCAGGTAAATGGTCTAGTTGTGACTTGTGAGAGGAATGACAAAAGAAAAGGGTTTTGGTAGCAAAGGCAAGTAAGTCAAGATCCAAATCCAAATCCCTACGAAGAGTGAAATGCTATGAGTAAGGCGAGACCATGCACATTAGAAAGCATTATCCAAAGCACAAAAAATAAGGGAAAGAATAAACCAAAAAAGACTGAGAAGAATAGCAAGGCTATAAATGTTGCCAGCAAGGATGAAACCTCTAATGGTTCCAATAGTGTTTTGGCAATTTTGACAAAGAGCTCTAGTGAAGAGTAGATTATTGACTCTTGCACTTTCACATGCCCTAAATCTTCTCAATGGATCATAACCATGGGAGAGAAGATTAAGTCTCTCTATAAAAGCCATACTTGGAAGATTGGTAAACCACCTAAAGGAAAGGACAAAGGATTCTCCATTGTAAGTGGGTATCTAAAAGGAGAGAAGGAATCTTTGGACTGGGGGATGGAAGGTTCAAGGCACAGTTAGTAGGTAAGGCTTTACACAAAGGGAAAGTGTGAACTTCAATGAAGCGTTTTCTCCAATTGTCAAGCATAGTTCTATTCATTTGTTGCTTGCAGAATGATCATGCTTTGACTTGGACCTTGAACATTTGGATGTCAAGGCAACATTTTTATATAAAAAAATCTATATGCATTAAGCAAAGGGGTTTGAACTTCTTGATAAGGAGAACCATGTGGATTTATTGAAGAAATTGATTATTATATGGTTTGAAACAGTAACCCAAGTAGTGATATATGTGGTCTAATAACTTTATGGCAGCACATGGGTACACTATATAGAAGTAATTATGATGGTTGTGTTTATCGTAAGAAGCTTTTAGATGGATCTTGTGTGTATCTATTACCCTATATTTGATGACATATTGATTATTGCCAAAGACATGTCCAAAGTCAACTCAATTAAATGGTGAATTTGAGATGAAAATTTTGGGTGCAGCAAAGAGTATTTCTTTGTCTATTATAGAGGCAGAATACATGGTAGTAGTGAACGGAGTTTTATGGCTAAAAGGTTTGGTTGGTGATTTGGGTTTACAACAAAATCCTACTGTTGTGTATTATGATAGCCATAGTACGATATATTTGACTAAGAATGAAATGTCCCATGAGAGGATCAAGCACATTGATGTAAGATACCTTTATGTTAAAGAGGTTATCACAAGGAGTTGTAATAGTGGAAAAAATTGTTACAGTTGAAAACCATGCAAAATTTGTTGTGTAGGTGCTTTGAATTCTAAGGATAGGCAAACCTCATGACTTAATAGATCTCATTGGAGCAATTAGTTAGTTAGAACTTACGGGGACCACTCCAATTAGGGTTTCTTCCCTATAAATAGCCTTGTATTCTTGCATGAAAAGTCATCTTGTGTCTTGGAGTCCAAGAAAGAAAACAAGTGAGAAACAAGGGAACTTGGTGGCAGGCATACTATTACAAGTTTGGCTCCGTTTGTTTGCGGTATAAACGCCAAACCGGGGCATTTATGTACCCCAGTTCGTGTTTGCATGCGTTTGTTTGATAAATAAAAAGTTAATGATTATCAGAGTAAAAATTATTTTCTGACACTTTTGCACTCTGAGAAGAGAGCATTACTGTACCTATTTTTTTGTGTTCTTTAGATAATTGACTTTTTGACCAAAGTTAAGGCATTGGAGCATAAGATAGTTGGAGCATTTAATGATGGGCCCACACCTTTGCACCAATTTCAAACAAACAAGATGAATGCAAAAACAATTTAAAATGTAAACCGTATTTGCATTCATGAACCGAAAAATGGGTAAATATGTAATTTACATATTTGCATTTACATTACAACCAAACGCAACCTTTGGGATTGTGGTGAGATATACTCTATAAGTACTGTAATCTCCATTTACCAGTAGTGGGCTTAATCTCCTCTAACGCCCATGGACATAGGCTATAAGAAAACCATATAAATCTCTGTGTGCTCTGTTGTACGGTTTTCTTTTTGTTTCTCTACTTGCCAATCTTCTTATTCCTAGTTTCATTAACATATCTCTGCAACATACACACTAACAATAATCGAACTAGAAAGTATTGTGACTGTAGATGCGATCAGCTCTACAAAGAACTTTGTGTGATTGTTTTCTTGTTGTTTCCTTAGAAGACTATGTATCTCTGTTCAACCGTTCATTTTTTCTTTTCACTAATCAAATGATCTGGGATGTTTGTCCACAGTTTGTAGGAGCAATGTAAGAAACGATTCGTCAGACTATCCTTTAGTCGTTGCAAATGGCACCTACACCTTCACAGCCAACAATTGTGTTCGGTGCAGATGTGATTCTTCATACAATTTTACGTCAGTCTTCATATCCTACACTTAAAATTGAAATGCATGCATGCTTTCAGAATAACGAATAAAAATCTAATTTTGGTTCCTTCATCTTCGATTTGTATATATGACTACCAGATTGCAATGTGAGCCTTCTGACGTAGTAGTGCAAGGCTCGTATCGATGCCCTCCTTTGCAATGTAAGGATGCAAATGCAAGCAACTTGTACCTTGGGAATTTCACAACTACTTACCACAACAAAGGGAACGTCACTACTCATACCAATTCCATTTGTGAACGCACTCTGTGTGCCTACGCTGGATACGACAATAACAGTAACACAATCTTCACAACTCTCGTTAAGGATGATTTCTGTAATGGTAAGTAGACATTAGCAAGGTAGGTTTCTTAATTGGGTCAATACAAACTAATTTAAGATATAAGTTGCTCTGAACCTATTCATCCGTTCAATTAGAGCTGTAAATTGGGTCGTGCCGTTTTTTAATTAAGTCATATTGGATTTAAACTTTTAAGTCCATAGGCCAGTATGGCACAGTACCGTAATGCAGGCTGTGCTGGCACGGGGCCCATGGCATGGGCCATAATAATAATTATATAATATGTAATATATTAATATATAAAAAAATTATTTTCAATTTTATTATACTATTTTATTCTAATTGTATTGAAATTTTTTAATTTCATTTTATTATTTCATATATAAATATTTGTGTACATCAAAATTTATATAAAATAAAATTTTGAGATTTTTTTTTATATTTTGCATTTTTCATTATATTTTCAATTTAAAAAAAATGTCTCTCATGGCCTGGCCCACCCAAGCCCACAATACGGCACGGCTCAGATCATCCCCGCCTAGGCCCGTGCCATGGGCCGTGCCAGGCTTGACCTCTAAAGCATCCCAAAAGTAGCAGACACGGCCCAATTTACACCTCTATGATCAATCCCTTTACCATGTTATGCCTACTACCAACCCATTGCATAGCTTTTGGTTAAAAAGCCTGAGGCCAAAAAGTTTCCCTTGTTGCTTTTAACCTTTTACAGCGCCAAATGGCCTTTTAAAAAAAAAAAAAGAAACCCATTTATCTAAATAAGCATCTATTGAAAAAGTGTTTCTTAAAAAGCCCATTTAAAAACAAAAAGCACTCTCAAATACGAACCTTTGTTTACAGCAGTAAGTGGCTGAACTGAAAAACTTATTGCTCTGTCTTTTAGTCAATAAGTTGTTAAGGAGGTTGTGGCTCTTTATCGGATTAAGCTTTTAAGTTGGGTAGATTAGCATATCCTCGAATGCATTATTATTTAATTATTTTATCTATTAAATGATAAATCGTTAAGTTCAACAGCTTTTGCCATTATCAAAGAGCCCCTTAATGTAGGGATTAATTATAAAACCAAAAATAAATCAAAAAGGATCCCTACATCTAAAGGCCATAATAGTATATACACTAATAAATCAAAAAGAGTTTCCAACTGATGTTTGCTTGGTAAATTGCCTTAGCTAGTTGTAGTAAAGACCACCAAGGTGCACTTATTGGTTTGGGTTCACAGTATAGACAACAAGCCAGGGAATGCTATTCAAAACAATGCTATTCTCAACAGTAACATTCTTTTTACCACCAGCTAGTACCGAAAGATGATTTTTTACAGCCAAATTCTTAGTACTCGAAATGCAAAGTCTGTATACTTGTGTAGAATCCCCACTCCAAAACCAAAACCAGAGAATACCATGTGGAGAACCCAAAGTCTATTACATCATAGAAAGCCCTAAAGAACTAACATTTCTTGTCAAAAACAATTACAGATACAAGTGTAAGGACCAATTCCTAATATTACAAGAGAATCCCAAGAATTTCTTTTTCTGCTGGGAAGAGAGAACTAAATGGTTTCCATCAAGAATCCTTTAAAAGACTATCCATGTATCTAACAGGATCCAAATCACAATCCCATAAGAACATAACATGGCCCTCCTACCATTATGAAGCTTTTTGGGTTGTTCAAAATTCTTAGCTATCTTGCTTCCTCATAATTATATACATTTAATTAATTACAAATGCATAATGTTAACTTTTTATATTTTGATTGAATGCTTGGTTCGAACTGTTGATAAGCAGTAGAGGCACCTGCATCACGACCTAATATGCCAGGTAATTATTCTCTAAACATCTCTCTGCAGTGTCATGTTTTATAATATTTATGGGGGTGGACTGAACAGTAAAAACCCCTTAATTTTATTATTTATTTATTTATTTATTGGTAAATTTGCTGGGTCAAGTTGAAGCTCTTGTAAGTTTCTTCAGATCTATAATAATATGAATTTAAGGGTGCTCATTAGTCCACTAATAGATTTTACCAAATGAATTTGTTTAGTGTTGCCTAGTTCCAAGGAAGAATTATCACAAGCTGCCTGGAGCCAAAATCTTTTTCTTAGGCTCTATTTGTTTGCGTTTGTATTTCATTTGTACTAGTACAAGTGCAGGAGAGTGCAAATGGGCTGAGGTAAATTGGGATTTACTTTTGCCTCAGAGTTGATGCTGCCTTGTTTCTAAGAAGTAAAACATGAATTAAAATAATGGGGTCCCTAGTTTATGAAAAAGGAAAGGAGGCATCATTGGGGAGGAATAAGGTTAGAAGCAAAATAATATGGTCCCCACTTCATATGTGAGAGAATCATGACAAGAGGCACCTCAAAAAAAAAAAAAAAAAAGAATCAAGATAAGAGAAAGGAGGTGCAAATTTCACATCAGTTTTTCAGATGCAAAACTTGGACTGCTAACGAGTGCAAATGAGACAAAAAAAAAAAATGCAAATTTTGCATCAGGTCTAAGTACAAACCATAGTAACAAACAAACTGAATCAGGTGCAAAAAATTGTGTCTGGTTCAGATTTGTTCAGAAAAGAAATAGAGCCTTATGAATTGCTCTCATGTTGTGAAACGACAGCAAGCTGCCTTATTTGTTGCCTATAATTAAAAAAAAGTTACTTCTACTACCTAAATGATGACACAGGGTTTATGATCTGGGGCAATATATTGAAATAATAGACCACTGCTATTGTTGGGTTAGGGTTTTGATGATTTATAATTTCCATGGCCAAGGATTTTCTTTACATTAGACTATCAAATTGTAATCTTCACCATCTATTTTAATGGTCCAAAGAATTTGACATCTATTTGAGTGGGTCGAATTATTAAATGGGATAGTTAGATAATCTGGAGCAAGGAGAGAGATAATTGGGAAATGGGATCCTAATTAGTGATTGGATTTTGAAGGTATTGATTGGGTGAATCAGTGGTTTGATATTTTTTTCTTCCTTTTAACTGAAATGTGGTTTTCTTCATTGATTGATAGAAACTGGATGCATTTTCTTTTCTGTTGTGCGTCTAATTTAACTGTTCCTTTTTTATCCCCAAATTGGAAAGATGAGAACCACAGCAAGAAGAAACGAGTTATTCTCATAAGCATTGGTGTGCTGCTGCCTATACTGATACTTCTCTCGGGCATGACATTTTATAAACGGAAGACAAAGAAGAAGTCAGGAAAATATGGTACTGCACCTTTCATCCCATTGTAAATCCTCCATTCTGATGTTATAAGTAATGAAATGTATGTTTGGTCCACCTATAAATCAACAAAAGCATAATAGGGACTCCTAAGTTTCCTATTGTAAATTCTCCATTCTATGACTTAAACAAGGTTTAGCCTTTGAGGTATCAGTATGATTGTATGTATGTATGTATGTATATATGTATGTATAGCTTGACAAATATTGTCTTTGATCAACCTTTCATAGTTTGATCATATCAAATCAATTTTCTTCCCAACAGGTAATACTAAAAATAACGTTGAAAGCTCAAATGAAGACCTAGAATTACCCTCGTTTGATTTGACTATTATAGCAGATGCCACAAATAACTTCTCTTCTGCCAATAAGATTGGAGAGGGTGGCTTTGGTCCTGTTTACAAGGTAACATAATCTTGCACTACAGATAAGAAGCAAGTTCTCTTTATATGTATATATCTTAATTACTAATACAGTTTTATGGATAATAATTTATAGGGTGAATTAGTAGAAGGGCAAGAAATAGCAGTGAAGAGGCTTTCAAAGAACTCTGGACAAGGACTGATCGAGTTCAAAAATGAGGTCATATTGATTGTCAAACTCCAGCATCGGAATCTTGTGAGGCTTCTTGGTTGTTGCATTCAAGGCGAAGAAAAGATGTTGATCTATGAGTTCATGCCCAATAAAAGCTTGGACTATTTTATTTTTGGTTTGTCTCTCTTTTATGAAAAGAAAGAAAAAAAAAAAAGAAAAAACTTCTCTTATTAATTATGTGCAATCCTAAAACTAAAAACAAGTTAGCACTTATGAGTGACTTCATGAAAAAAATTGACCAGATGACAAAAGAAGCAAATCACTAAATTGGGAAATGCGATTCAATATTATTGGTGGAATTGCAAGGGGGATTCTTTATCTTCATCAAGATTCTAGGTTAAGAATAGTCCACAGAGATATCAAAGCCAGCAATGTTTTGCTAGATAATGAGATGAACCCAAAAATATCAGACTTTGGCATGGCAAGAACATTCAGAGGAAATCAGACCCAAGATAACACAAATAGAGTGGTTGGGACATAGTAAGTACATCATTAAATTGCTTTGGAGGAGAGTATTTTAAAATCATTCTGTTTGTTTGTTTAATATGAATACATGCTTTTCTAACTGATATGATGCAGTGGCTATATGCCCCCAGAATATGTAATTGATGGACTCTTCTCAATGAAGTCTGATGTCTTCAGTTATGGTGTATTGGTACTGGAGATAGTGAGTGGCATGAAAAATAGAGGGTTTTATCATCCAGAGCACCACCTTAATTTTATTGGTCATGTAAGTATATGAATACATTTGATCATCAGTCCTTGTTTTCTTGTGCTAATCTTGTCATGACCTTATTTCGTGAACAATTTCAGGCATGGAGGCTTTGGAACGAAGGGGATCCCTTAGAATTGATCGATGCATCACTGAGGGATTCATGTACTTTGTCTGAAGTGCTACGGTGCATCCATGTGGGTCTCTTGTGTGTGCAACAAAACCCAGAAGATAGGCCAACCATGTCTTCTGTGATATTGATGTTGGGCAGCGAAACTGCAAGTTTACCACAACCCAAACAACCAGGTTTCTTTACAGAAAGAAATCCAGTTAAGGATGAGTGTTTATCGAGTAAACAAGAATGCTCCACAACCAATGAAATTACTGTAACGTTGTTGGATGGTCGATAGGCCATGCAATATTAACGCTAAAATGTGTATAAGATTCTATCATTCTCCTTTTGATTTGTATATTTGAAGTTAACATTCTCTAAAAGTAAGAATTAATGTGTTTTGTTGAGATCATTTCCACCCATCTGTTAGGCAGCTGTCCTAGAAGCCTCATATTTGCCAACACTTTTTCCATATATTATTTCCTCATCAAAAGTAAAGAAAGATTGGCGTATTTGTATACTTGTATTTGGATATGCTCTTCAGGATTTGTGCTTCCAAAAGAGATCAGATTGGCTCCCCACTTGCATATCCCACCATGCACGATTGAAATGTGCTATGGGCATGCATGGGGTGCGCTGTGGAGCGTCAATGTAAAAGTGTTTGTATACTTGTATTTGGATATGCTCTTAAAAGTGTTTGGGCTTTATGCTTTTAAAAGACACTGTTATGAAAGGCCCACAATACTTTTTGACTCGTTTTTTCTTCCACAGCTCAAAAGCTCAGAGCTCAGAAGCAAAAGCTTATTTAAATAGAGCCTAAATTATTAATATACTGCTGAACTCTGTTGTGTGCATGCATATACATATTTAAGATATTGTATTGGATCCCATTGTTGTTTCTTACCCGGGTAAACGGGTAAGTGTATTTTACACATGTTCTTTTATTTCCTAGGTAAATAAGGCAATGACCATTTTAGCCATAATAATTCATTATTAAAATGGGCATTTTTGTTCCATTCAAGTGTTAGTGATTTTCCCTTTAAGTGGAAAAATTATATACCCACCTATGAGACAGGTATCACTTATCTAGAGTTCCAGACAAATAGCCCAGGAAAATAAACTTTCCTTGATCTCCATATAAATCTGAAAAAAGAACATGGATTTCTTGGTCAATGGGAATCAAAATCCCATTAACCAACTTTTCCTCTCTCAAAATCTAATAAAAGAACGTTCCCTTAATAAAAAAAGCATGGACACTTCTTATTGGGTTACAACCTTTGGCTACTTAATTCCTCTTCGATCTAGACTCTAGAACTCAAGTTGGAGTCTGCCTAACATTAGCTCACTACCAAAAAGAAAATAAAAGGCTGGTGGTTATCATCTAAAATTGTTAATCCAAGTAACAGAACTCATTACTTTGTTGAATTGTGAAGCTTGAAGCTGAACAATCTTTTCTCTTCTGTAATACTAATTTATCATTCGATGGCTATTTATAAATTAGCTGGTCAACTACAAAAAAAGGTTGGTTGCAAATCGAAATCCCTACAATCATGATCCAGGTGTGTAGCATGTTCTGCCCTTACTTCTTGTATTAGTATAAACGGTGTATATCACCCCTTCTTCCTTCCAACCTTTTTTTTATTATCCACTGTAGCAAAAGGGAATCAGAGCCCCTTTGTCTAGTTATTCCATCAAACAAGTGGATTGGAAAGTGACTTTTCTTTTCTAATACATTAGAGAGAGAGAGAGAGGAACTCAATTGTGATAAACATTAGGCTAAGGATTAGGTTTTCCTCATGGGACCCATCATACAGTTTGTAGCCCATTAACTACCTTCTATTCTAATGCCCACATTAGGCTGATGGAAACCCATATTTTAATTATGTGTTTTTGTTTTAAATATTTACATGGTGAAGAGACTCTTTGAAAACTCTTAAAAGAGCTCTTATATCAGATGGTTCACTCTCATCTGATTATGTTGTAATTGAAATATATTGGATAAGCCCCAGTGTTAGATAATTTACACGTAGTAAATTCATCTAATCTTCACTGATTTATTTGGGACTTTCCTTGGTTACATTTGAGTGCGGTGGAAAAATCCATCATATAAAAGTTAATCGATGAAAAAGTCTATCGTGTAAAAGTCTATTGGTTTAAAACCGACTGAATCATTGGAAATTTTCAAGTGAGAATGGATGTAAAAGTAATTTTACATTAATTTTATCGATTAACAATGTAAAAATTAGCTAAAAAACAGAATTACATCAATATTTTCAATGTTACTTTTACATGAAAAACAAATGACTGCAAAAATGGATTAGGTGTAGAATTTTACACCAGTCCGTTTTTACACCGGAAATAAACGGGTGTAAATGCAACCTTACATTTGAATTTTACATTGATTTACATTTACACTTCAATCAAACAAACTCCTCGTTTTGAAGCCAAATTCGTTCATTAAACACACCAAAACCCAATAATAGTCTTCAAGATAAGAGAGTTCAAAGCATCTATGTTCTTGTAGCTGACCAAAGTTCTTGGTCATCTGCCCATGTGTTTTTAATTGTCTAATGCCCAAAATTTTGATATTAAATATGTTATTTTCAATTTCTTTCGGTGTTACGTTGCACCACAGATCTTTGGAAAAGTATATTCCTATTACCTAACCACATATGCGTAGACGAGAAAATTGATCACGGTATTAGCTATACATGTTTTTTCTTTTCTGGATTGCGATCTCTTTGTTAATTACTTCTCTTTCTCCCATGAGAGAAAGAGAGAATTGGTAGGATGTTACATCGGATTTAGGATATTTGTTAGTTGAATTATATTGAAGAGAACCCATGTGCCATTGCCAAGGGAAAATTAGTTTTGGCAGTGATGTTTTTATTTGCTTCTGTATCTTTTTGACATTTTGGCTTTCTCTCAATCCATTTGGAGTTGGGACAGACCCCAGCAAACCAACAGAATGCTCACCTTTCTAACCAAGCAATTAATGAAGGAAATGGAAAGCGGGGTGGCACAGTCGGCGGCCCAAAGAAGCCCCAATAAGTGCTATTCACTGGCCATTTTTCTATTCACGTAGCAGAGTTGAATTCAATAAGATTATCCACCATTTAGGGCAGTCAGTTGGACATAGAATCGGATTATTTTAGATTTGGATGTTACAACTTGTATCTGATTAATAATTAGATCAGATGTGGATTTAATCCCATTTGATCTTATTACATAAATAACTAGAAATTTTTCATAACTAAGATTACTTGAAACATGTTGCATGTGACTGACCTGGATGGTCCCTTATTTGATAAATTCGGATTAGCTGAACGCTAGGGCTGTTCACGAGTCGGGTTAGGTCGGTTTATTGTAATTTTTTCAACCGATTCAACCTGGTCGGGTTACCTGATATAGAAACCGAAACCGACCCAGTATTAAGCAAAACCGACCTGGTTGGTTTGAATCGGGTTGGGTCGGTTTCGGTTCTAAGTTCATCCCTGTGATAAAATCTTGCTAATTTTAAAAACAGTCATAAATTGAATATCATTTCGGCCATCTCCTATGATAAAATTTAAATGAAAAATTAATCACAAAAGTTGTTCATTAATCACTATATTCACTAATCTAAAGTTTCTTGCAACCATTCAAAAACTAGGTGGCCTAATGGGCTTTGGAACTTCATGTTTGAACTAGAAACTAAGTCGGTTCAGTTCGGATCGGTTACGATTTTTTTGTGTGAAAACCGAAACCGACCCGAATCATCGGTTTAAGAATCTGCACAACTCGAAGCCGACCCATACTGATGAAAACCTAGCCAATTCGGATTGAGTCGGTTCAGGTTGGTCGAACTGGGCCTTCTTATACTGAACGCTTTAGCTGTTTAATGGGCTGTGGAATCCATGATGAGGTCCCATATCAGTAATAAATTAATAGGCCCCACTGTAAAAGATACAGGCCCCATATATTTAATACTGGGATGGACATTTATTATTAGTTCTACAGCCCGTTGAACGGCTAAAGCATTCAGCTAAATCTTACTCCTATTTGATAGCGATTACCACATCATCTCTCTATATCGAGTGGCTTTAGCGAGATAACAAGCTGATTGACCCATTTAGAGGTCCTTTTTTCACAAACATACACGCAAAGTACCTTAGAATATTTTGGTAAGAACCCTTTACGTGTGGTGAGAACTGAGAGGGTGAGGGGCTCCACAAGCTTTCAATATGTATGGCAGTGTTTGGTATTGTGGTGCTTATTTTTGTTGCATTGAAACACAACCATGACGCATGTCTATTGTCCGTTTCTTTAATATTATTTTTTCCTTTAAATGTGTTTGATAAAAATATTGCGTTATGGCAACTTTTGTGACACCGAAAAGTATGATGCTTGAAAACTTTTAACTAAATATCAATTGATCATACCCGTTGATTGTTTATTAATTTTTTAGGTATTATACCTCCTAAGGGGCTGTTTAGTACAATAGTGTTGTGTTGTTATTGCCTTTTAGATTGGTCAATACAAATTTGTAAAATTTTACCAAAAAAATACATAATTTTGTGAGTTTTTCTTCACGAAACGTTTTAAAAAGGTATTGAGTAGTTGGTCAAAGAAAATTGTTATTTCTTCCTAAAATGTCAAATTTAATGTTTCTCGCACATGCACTTTTTTCTAGTTGAAATGGCATTCATCATAATACATATTTTTCATAAATTTGTATTGGTCAACCCAAAATGCAATGGCAATGCAAGGCCACCATACCAAACACCCCCTAAACTTAGAAATAGTTAGACAGTTAACTATAAATTGAATCCTCCCTAATTGAATTTGAGAGAAACCCCCACCAATGACAACTAGAAATGTACCCCTTGACAATGTTATTTACCAGTTTAAATGTGTCCAATCTCTAAATAATCCTAGTTAGTTTTTTTTGATAAATGAAACAACCCTAATTAGTTAATGAGAGAGAATGGGATAATTAGTATACCTTAAATATATGGAATTAAATGAGTTATAAGATAGTAGTTTAAATTATATTTTCAATCCTTATAATTAACGGAGAGATAGCTCAATTGGTATGCTGGATGATTTGTCCAAGAGGAGATGGGGCTTTGAGTCCCATTATCATTGTGTTTGAAAGAAAATGAGTTATGTGTAAATATTGGTTAATGATGTGATGTTATACTGTTCATGAAAAAAGTAGCGGCCCCAATGGGGATTCAGGCCTTGATTAATACCAAAAAAAGAAATCCCTCACAATTAGAGTTGGTGTAATTAAATTAGAAAATAAGAATCATTTTGGCCAAGAAGAAAAGTTGCATACCCTCATTCACACTAGTAGTAGTATAATATTTGCAATCGAATTTAGGGGTGTTCATGGTTCGGTTAATCGAACCGATATTATTGATTTTTTTGGAAAATCGGTAACTAAAACTGAACCAAATCCGATTGGTCAATTGGTTGACCGGTTTAGTTTGTCAGTTTTTTATATTTACAATATATATTGTAAAAAATATATATAATAAAAAACTAGAAATATATATAAAATATTATATTTTAAATAATAAATAATATATTATATATTATAAATATATATTTATATTTATATATAATGCATATTTATTAATTTATAATATATATAATATATATGATATACATAAATATAATATAATATATATATATATATATATATATATATATCGGTCGGTTCGGTTAACCACCGATTTTTCATATTGGTTAATCGAAACCGAACAAATATCTTTGGTTTTTCAAAAATACCGAACTGACCAATTCAATTAACTGGATTTTCAGTTCAGTTTTCTTGCTCTCCCCTAATCGATTTGCTCCCTCAATTTTTGTTTTTCTTTATACATGTTTAATTTTTGTTTAGCTAAATTCATAAGATAATAAAAGAAGATGATCGTAACTATGATGATTGACAACGATGATGATGATGACAACTCAAATATGAATTAATGGGTAGGTTAGGTGCTCTTTAGATCACAGCATATATAATTGCATAACTCCCCTAACCATTTTCTTAATTGTTGGGTTTGAACAGCCAAAGTGAGTATGGATCACAATCAAAGAAAGGTCTGGTTAAGAGAATCAGAGTGGTTAAAATGATCCATGATCAGACAGCTGACAATGAAATGCTCATAAGCAATTGTGTTCCTGAAGGGCCCACATACAAAATCTTTCTTTTCTAGGTCGGCAGCCTGATTATCGAAAACATTACAACAACAACGGCAACAGCAACCCCAACCATAAAGCCACTTTAAAGAAGGAAAGGTGAAGAAAATGGAGGAGAAGATTTATCTAAAGAAGTAAAGGGGTCCGACCCAAGGTTAGGCTTGATGTAGCAAAAGAGAAACTCTAGTGGAATCAGTGTAGGATGCTCAATGGAGTCAATGGAGGAAGAGGAAAAGTGGATTTGTTCTATTTTTTATCATTGCAAAGTCAAGAGACAGGAATTGGCCTCAGAATGCATCTATAGGGCCATGGGTCCAGAGGCTGGAATAAATCACGTTGATAAAGATAGTAACAAACACTGACATCAAAACTATCCGGCCGTGTTGGAAATCGATCGGATAGAGCATACTATTCAAAACGTTTTGGGTTAATCAATACAATAGGCCTCAGAATGTATCTTTATGTATAGAAAGATGCCAAATTGACGTTTCAAATAGAAACAGCAATGATGTGACCAATTAAATAACATCATGTGAAATGTGACAATACATATCTCTCACCAATGTGTATTAATCAATCCAAAAGTTTGAGGTAGAAATAAAATGACACCAAACACAACCCATGTGAAAATTGAAAAAGATGGTTAAGGTCCGGTTGGTTTGCCCATTTATAAGCATTTTTTACCAATGGAGGGCTGGCTCGTTGGTGACTTGGTGTGTTAGCTGGTTTGTTCCAACGTTGGTGCAGAATCAAATCCCGCAACCAGCACTTTAGGGAAAAAAGGACCAAGGGGAAGCTATTAATGGTGCATAGCACCGGATACCAAAAGAAAATTGTAAGCATTTTGGGTCATCAGAGGTGGATCTTCACTGTTATTTACTGTTATAATGTTCAATTCACAGATGATTGGATCTGTGATTTTCAGTGGTCGGAATTTGAGATATGTATAGGAGGTAGACTTTGCTGCATGTGTTTGAAACTACGGGCATTTATTGAATAGACGCTGTCACATAGGCGCCACTTCAGCATTTTTCCCATTATGTGAATCCATACACATAGGGACTTACAAAAGTAGAATTCAGTTTATGTGTGTGCCTATCATTGGGAGAAATTTCATTTTAACGCTTTCCCTAATGGATAGGCATTTATTCACTGTTCTGCTGATGTGACACCTAAGTGTCAATAAACGGGTTCGTCATTGTTTTTTTCGGTTTTTCAAACAAATCAAGTACAAAACGTTTAGTCAATAAACATTAACGGTTAAAAACACAGTTGATCTTGACCGTCAACCCAAAACATTTAAAGTTCAGAAGCTGGCGGTGTTTAAAGGGGAGAAGAGAAACTGAACCAGTCTGAGCAGATTTCAAATCCTTAACTTAGGGAGGGTAACCATTTGGGAACATTCTCTTGTATGGAATCAGAAATCCTTAGGGATATAAAATATATTTTTGAATTTCTCTATTGAACAGAGTTCAGAAATGTAGGAATTTCCGTTTAACATCCCAAGTCTACTGTAATTTAGTATTATTTCTAATAATTTTATAGTCAAGGTAGGTTGGTATGTCTCGTCAAGAATTGTAACCTCTATTTAAAAGCTCATTCATTTATTTGGCAACTGGAATTTCTATCGGAATAGGAATTTTAGGGTCCAAAGTCAATGTTCCATGAACTTATGCAGTTGGGTTAACAGTCAAAGCTATTTATTTCTGCTTGTATTTATTCCGTATAGGTATACCTAAGCCAACTAATTTGGTTTTGCAACAATTCTTCTCAAAAAATAAAAATAAAAATAGGCCAATAATCCCCTACATTAATCTTTTTTAAGATTTTGAGAGAAAACTAAAATTTTAAATTTTTACGAAATTTTTTATTTATTATTATTTTTTCTGCAAAAATGGTATGTAGAGGAAGGAAGGTTAGCCATGCTTGCCTTCCAAGTTCCGACCTTTCTCATTCCAAACTTGCCTTCTAACACCTCCTCTTACCAACCCTTTTCTTATTCCTCCTCTCTCTCTCTCTTTTTCTCTCCTTTTACCTAATAAATCTCTCAAAAAGAAAAGAAGTCAAGAATGATAAATTTAATAAATAACAGTAAATAAACACTACAAGAAAGGTTTGAATAAAGGTTGGGGGATAGTCAAAAGAGGCTGGCCGCTTGGAATAAGACGAGGAAAGGAAGGAGAACAATCAGGGGCACGTGTGTCCTTCTCAGTCCATGCCGCACACTACAGCAGTACAGCAATATAAAGGCCTGGTCAGGTCAAAACATTGCGTTTGGAGGAAGCTGCCTCCATCCATCACCATTTCCTTGATCCTCCATCTACCCATTCACCACCCCTGATGATGATGATGATGATGATGGGACCCACATTTATTTAGGTGGCAAAATTCAAGCATAAATCTTTGCCACTTGGCAAAAGAAAACCCAATATCTGAAAATTTAAACTGCTATTGGATGTTGTGGAAAATATAGATGAGATGGCACTTGGGCAATCCAAAGGTTTGCCTTTCCTTATCTAAACGATATCTCATATTGAACATATTATCCTCCACATGGCAGAAATAGGATAAATTATCTAGCAAAGAGATCAAGGATGAGGGACTGGGGGATAGGTTCCGTGGCAACGTTGCAAGTCTAGATGTTGGGATGAGATTGGTATACCGTATACATGACCCCAGTTCCACTTCCACCAGCCCATTCTCTTCAGATTTCACCTACCAAGCTTCAGTTCTAGAGATCTCCATGCCAAACAAACATACAACAAATCCCCTCTTGTCCCTTTCCTACCTAGAAAGTCTAAAATAAATAGATGAAAACAAAAACAAAGAAAAAATTAACGGCTCAGGCTCAGTAACGGGTAAGGACAAATCTGGTAACATGACAAAGATGCTTGTTGAAATGGACGGACTAGATTGGCTATAACAACCTTTCCATCTGTCTACAAAAGAGTATTCATTCAGAGAAGAATGAATCTTCAGATTTTCGATATGCATTTTGGGTTACTAGTACTAGTAGTAGAATAATAAAGAGAAGAGTTGTTGTAAACAATACTATAATGCCTTACTTTTAACACAAGGGTTTATTCCAATCAGATGGTGGAGGATTAAGGGCATATATGGACAGTCATGCTTAGTCCATCGTACTGCCACTTGAGCTTCCTCTATCCAGGTCTAGATAATTTCTGCACCTCACATTTGGTAGCTGAGGCCATCACCTAATAAGGGGCTGCGCGTGTATATGCCATTTCACTCTTTGTTGAGGCATACAGGCCAGCAAGTAAGAAGAGGAATTCTAATCATTCTCTGGCTGTGGTCAGTAGCAAAAACAAACAGGAAAAATCAATTCAACAGCACATGGGTGAGATAGCTAGACTGAAACTACCAAGAGACCCATACAGTCTGTTTCTGATGCCAGTGGCTCAGACAATCAGACTGGTTTTCAATCCAGCACTGACCTGCTAATGGTTGCTCTATCACGGCCTGGACTATTAGGTCATATTGGTAGAGCGTTAGGGCCCCAACCATTGCGACCAGTTGGTGTGAATGTGCATATAACAATGGACAATTCTTAAGTTCTTCAGGTCCCCACATCCCTTTCAATGTTATCATCTGTTGTTTCTGTTCAAGTCAATAGAAGAAGCAACCTGGACATTGAGCATTGTAGACCAAATCGATATGTGATCCTTGCCATGAAACTATATTTCATTCTCTTCAAGACATTATATGATTACAATAAGTGACTCCAAGGATTTCTATGATGATCAGTCACCTTAACTTCTCAGCCATCTCAAACATAATGAGATGCCAACGCTGAGTGCTGAGTTTATACAAATTCCGTCTGGTAATACCCGGGTAAGTATTGGATACATCGGAGCCTGAAATACATGAAACCTACAAACAACCTAGGAAGAATTCCCAACTGATTGTTCAAGCTAGGATTAAGAGAATGATTACATATGGGTAACTCTATAAAAATGCACTTCACAGTGCGACTATATTTATATTATCCAGTAATGCATGTAAAGCGTTCCAACTCAAGGGAAGAAAAAACAAGGACTGTTCAAAGGTAATTGTCAAATGGGCAGATGCACATTAAGGTTCTATGTCAACTGCAATCCACTTAACTATCACTATACCTCTGACATTCTTGGAACCATATGCTATCTCCAGGTTCTAATAGGAGTCTCAGAGATCTGCTCTCTTGGATAAGTTCTCTGATCGTCTTTTCTGTCTGTAGCAAATTGTTCAGTAGGTATTGGTAGTTCAATGTACACACTGTACTGAGGTTCACAGTTTCCAGAGGGGGTCTGCTGCTCTTCCATTACTGGTTTTTGAAAATGGAGGAAACAACATGGTAATGAAATCCAGTTCATGAAATAGGAGCAATTAACGCCGTCCATTTGCCCAATACCGGTTATGGTTCCCAGGTCTCATATGGGGATTCCTTTGAGCCATACCCTGCTTAGGGAGATCATGCAACTCCATGACCTGTATTGTCCGTTGCCTCTTTGCTGCATAAGAAACAAAAGTGCCCAATCACATTTGATTCTAGACTCATTACCCAAAACTTAAACATAACAGAGAAACCAATATAAGGCCAGGTGAACATTGTACAAACTACAAACCATTTTCAGCTTGCTGGTACCCCTCCTGAAGCTTCCTCTTGGTGGCTTCCAATTTTACCCGGACTGAAAATTCATCCGAGCATTTTGACTTCTGTTGGACAAAATCCCAATATTAGATCTAGACCAAAGATTTAAATTTAAACAAGGCTATTGTCAATTATCACTTCTAATACTTACATCTTGCTGACTAGCTATAGGCCGCCTTTGAATTCCCATGCTCTCTGGTTTTTGCTGTGATTTTGTTTCATTATTGGCTCTATGCTCTAAGCTTAATTTTGGAGGTCTCCCTGGCCCTGTGTCAGTGGCGAAGGGCTTTGTTTGTTTGATGACAGGTTCCAGTTTATGTACTTGTTGGCCTTTATTCTCCTTGGTAAGCATGTTTGCTCCATGGGGAGGTTGTTGCTTCCTCCTGGGGATGTTGTGGTTGTCCAGTGACATTTTCCTTCCATTCTCACGATTATTGTCCAGTTCCCCACTGTTCCGAGGGTCTGCATAAACATTGCAAGACCAGGAATAATGAGTTCCTGGAGATGGGAATTCAACAGAAGAAAAGGAAGAAATTTCAAAAATTCCAAATTTGACTCACTTCCATCATCATCCATCCCATCAAAAAACTTCACATTGGTCCAGATAAAAAGCATGAAAAACAGATTTCAGTCAGTTCAAAGTTAATAATTCTTCAAAAATAAATTTTGACCACAGAAGTAAGAAAAATGATTTGTAATTTAGAAAACACAATATGTACCTGAGAAAGCTCTATTCCAGTAGTCTGAGTAGCCAAAAAAAAACCTTCATCTAGTGGAGGAGAAGGGAGCCCTTCCTCTTCATCAAGAGTAGAAGGGTTAACAGAGTCAGGTGAACCTTCTGCACCCACAGATTCACGAGTAAAATTAATGTTATAAGTATCAGTACACATTTTAAAGAAAGCAATTCGTTAACAATTTTAAATGCATCTCTAACAATTCACAACACGAGGAACAGAACCTTACCTGTAATAGCATTTGCAGACCTTACCCATTCATCTACCATAACTTTCCACCCACTGCAATTGACAACAGACAGTTAAATTATAAGTAGAATTCTAATCAAGAAATAAAACCTAGGAAAGCCATGAGTCTGATCATCCATAATTTGAGGAACATGCAAAAAGATATAAAATTAGGGTTGTCACCGAATTAGTATATGAAGTTATGAACAAATGATTGAAGGAGGAAGCCTTCAGCTTCAAGGTATTAAATTTTGGTTTCAAAAAGATTATGACTTTCAACCTGCTCTGGAATAAAAACTGTTACAGAATTTCAGTCAAGCTCCATGAAAAATAAGTCACATTAAGCTCATGCTCCTAGTTTTTCTCTTGTTTTTCTCTTTCAACCTGCTCTGAAATATATTACCACTATTTCATTTAAGTGACCCTCAAAACCGAAATGGCATTTCAAGGATTTCACTTATCTTAAAATCTCATTCACCATCACCAGTAATGGTAGTTAAAGATTTAATCCCTGTAAGTTTGTTAGTTAAGATAATAAAGGCCTCTTAAGTTGAACTGGATTATATAATGAACATATGGAAATTGAATAATTGGGTGTTTTAGCCTATTGACTGCAAATTAGCAAAAATTGCTGGAAGAAACCAAAGCAAGCTAGGCTAGCTAGCAGTGTTCTAAGTTTATAAAGAGCAGCAAATTAGTTAACAAATGCAGGACAGAAACATAGGAAATTATCAGCCTCACTAAATAGAGAAGCTGAAATGTATAGTATTAAAATCATCAGACATCACTATTTTTTTTTATAGGTAGACAACACCACTAATTTCGTACCTGATGAGAGTCCTTGCAAGGTGACGGATCTCCTTTGATCCATGCTTCCGGACATTATTTACAGCCCTTCCAATCTCCGTTGCCTGAGAAAATGGAACTTGATGAGAGAGAAGGATTATGAAAAGGCATTCCAACTTCTTCAAAAAATCAAGAATAATAAAAGGACATTTTTGTCCTCTCAAAACAAAAATAGGTAGTTAGGTTAATAAAAACTAAATTAGTTTAATATTCAAAGTTCTCTAAGCATAAATAGAAGGATAATGCTGGATTCTATTTGAACCTTCAGGGTGTCCACGGACAGTGCCATAAGCTGAAGCCTCCTTAATGACTCAAATATTACTCCTTCAGACTGCAAACAGTGATCAAATCAATCAGAACCAAAAACCAGAAAATTTAAAAACAACTTAATTAGACATTCCAATTGTACTTGGGATGCCAAATTCCAACCACACAATCCACTCAATAAAAAGCAATTAAAGCAACCCAATCGGAACCAAAAAAAGCACAGAATAGCTAAAGTTAATTAGATCTTCTAACTGCACTACAGCATCCAAGTAGTAATCCAAACCATCAACACAATGAACAACAACCAACTAAAGCAACCCAAACACTGTGAAATAAAGAGCTAGGAATAAATTATTTATATTTTCCAACTGCATCAGAGCATCCAAGCTGTAACTAAACAATCTTCACAACAAACAGTAATCAGATAAATCTGATCAGAACCAGGTATCACAACCAAAAATTAAGTCAATTAGATCATTCTTCTGGACCAGAACTACAAAATTTTACCCAAATGATTTAGCAACAAAAGCTGCTATAATGGGGAAAAATCTTCAAACCTAAGTTAAGTTTCGATAAGAAAATTCTGGTCAACAACAATGAGGACTAGAACAATATCCAAACAGATATTCTCTAATCTCTATGCACCCTCTGTAACCAAAACCAAGTTGCAGTAACAAATACTAGCGTTGAACAGATTAACAAAGTAACAACAGCAATAATGATGATAGTGGTGGTGGTGGTAGTGGTAAGAAACAGACCTCTTCTTCACTATTGGCAAGAACATCTTTGATCCTCAGAACCTCCTTAACAATTTGACTCTCCTCTTCAATCTCCTCTGTCAGTGCCTCCGCTTCATCATAGCTGTAATTGCTAACCCGGATCATGTTCATTTCATTGTTATCATTGGAACTGCTATTGACCTTACTCTCTTTACCACCATGACCCTCAAAATCACCACCATTCTTGCAATCTCCATCACCCTCCTCCGCCGGTACTTGCAACTCCACACGATCACATCCGAAACACCTGGTCATTCGACAACAAAAAAGCATCTCTGCAATTCGATCCCTTCTCATCTTGAACTCTTCCGGACAATCAGAAGAAGCGACCATGATAGCATGCTCGATAACTTCAAAGATATCCAAATTAGCACTCCGGAAGTACTTCCTCCAGTAATCAAGGTTGCCCGATTTTGCATCCATGACGAAAATCGGCGCCGGAGGTCAGATTCCAACGATGCCGATGAAGCAAGAAATGTCTTCTTACGACCGGCAGGAAAAGACCCAGAAACAGGCGGTCGATCTTCGCATGTTTTGATCAAAAGAACTAGATACGAGTTACGTTTGTGAGCCGTAATCAAACGCGGTTTCAGTCTGAAAAATGAAAACCGCAACAAAAATCAACTGTCCAATCGGATTTCAGCGTAAAAAGCTACTCAACCAAAGACGCATAAACTAAAAAGAATCGCAAGCTTTCGCAGTTTCAATCAAATTTTCATCAATCGGAAAACGCAAATGGGTACTCCTTTCCAACCAAGCCAATCCTAATCTCAATCAAGAAACCACCTTTCAGACCGTCTCTCGGATCAGATTACAGCGTGAAAAAAAAAGTCGCGTAATCGGACCCAGAACGGGGACAATCAAGCTCCTCAGCACTCCAATCCAGACAAACTCCAAATGGGTACCGGTAACACCGCCCGAACCAAACTTCGGTTACTAGATTTCGATCGGAAAAACCAAAAGGAAAAAGCCACTAAGAAATTTGGGCTTCTTCTGAAGAAGAAAATATTGTAATCTGAGGGAAAAAGGGGGGAAGAGAAAATGGAGGAAAAACTCTTTATTCCACTCTAATTCAAGAAAAGTTAATGGAATACCGGGGACTTGAAAACGACGCGAATTTCTGCAGAATCAAAGAGATAATAAAACCGAGCTCGTGAGGAGATGTCAAGCGATTTTTTCCAAAATCGCTTTATTACTGAAATGGGTTTCTTCTCCAATTATTAATTTTTTTTTTTCTCTCGATCTTTCTTTCTTTCTTCTTCACGTCTGTTTGACTTGTCCTCCCAGTTCAAGGGTTTCGTTCACGCACAGGCACACTCAGATAGAAAAGGCTAAAACAAGGATAAAAGAATGAGAGAGCCTTTCTTTGGCTTTTGGTTTTCGATTTCGATGATCTGAGGAAGCAAGAAACAAGAAACAAGAACCGATTTTGTTTCCTTCTGAATCGTAAAAATTTTTATTTTCATTTATTACTGGTTTTGTTTGTAATTATCATCCAGATTTGTTTTATTAATTAATAAATTAAGAAATATTCTCTTCTGAGAGAATGGTCTTTAGTAGATAAGTGGTTTTGCGGAAGCGTGGGTTCCTGGAAAGTGGTTTTCTTGCTAGCTAATCTCTTCCCAAACCACTCGCCGCGAGTATTTCGCCGTGTCGGAACGTAGCCAAGCAAAAACTCGGTTGCCTCGCTTTACTCCTCGTCTGAAGTTCTGAGCACCATAGTCTGCAGTTTACACCCATTTTCTTCTTTTTTTTTTTTTTTAAATACAGGCAATAATCCCGTTTGGGCAATTTCTTGAATGGGAATGGAATTTGGAAATGAGGTGGTCAATTCTACTCTACGTATTTTGTGGATTCCACTGTATGGGTTAAATTTTTTAGTGAAGTGAAATTTGATAGTGGATTTTAAGCCTTCAATTACGAATTTTGATGGAAACCCTAAAATGGGTAGACAATTTTTCTCATAATTATGGTAATCAGAATATATAAAAGGGTAGATTTTTTGAATTTTGTGAAATTTGAATATATTCTTATTCCTTCGATCCGAAATATTACAACTTATTTCTGAAACTAACAAGTAACAAGTGCTTCCCCCTTAATAAGACCATTTGTTTTGAATAATGATTGGGTAAGTGATTGAAACATTTTTCATAAAAATTTAAGACAACGGAATTTCAATTCCACTTCTACTACTCTAGTTCAAATACAGCTTAAGGTGGGATTTGGAAGTCTGAAATTTTGCCATTTTTATTGTCTCGAACTATTAAGTGTTTGTCCCCCTTTGGTGCATTTGGTTACACTTTTGATAAGTCTACTTCTTACTTAAATATTGCTCAAATTAATAAGTAATTGATGAACACAGTGCTTTAAGTAATTCATCCCCTAGCAATGTTGGTCAAATTTATGCTTTAAATAACTCTCCTAGCCATTTGATAAGGGCTGGAGCTGGAGTCGCTGAACTGAATGATTTTTTGTTTTGTTTCTAGTGAATAGAATAAAAGAAATAAATATTGAAATATTTAAGAGCGTAGATTACTATAAACAACCTACAACTTCTTTAAAAACTTATTCAGAAATAAGATTTTTAGTTCAGCCACTTCAGCCTGTTATGATTTATAAACGCCCCCTTGTACTGTTAAAGGTGCTAAACCGACATTTAGGCTTCAGCCTGTGTTATTCGTGTAAAATCCTCTTAGGCAGTGATTTAGTTTAAGTTCTAGGTAGGCATAGTCCCTTCAGTTGGTCTTGTTTTGAAATTTTAAGTGTATCTACATAATGGCAATAAAATTGTCCATTTAGTTTGAATTGTGAACAGATCAGGTCTAATTTGGGATAGCTTGTACCAGTTCCATCTAGATTATTAATCAGGACAAAACCATAGACCCAGAACTATTCTCATTAATAATGAGATAATTGAGTCTGACCTGATTATAATTATATTAACAGTTATAATTATTTAAATAAATAATAACCTAAATTTTTGTTTTTGATAATATGATGTTGATAAAAATGACAATAAAATAATAAATTATTTAATCAATTGTTTTTAATTGAAATTATCTTATATTATATATCAAATTTGCCCTTCTACATATAAAAAATAATACAAATCGAAGAAGAACTAGGAAATCTTTATATATTATTAACTAAGCAATTGGTTTGAGTCTGAATCGATTTGGAACAAACAAGAACCAGAACAGACCCAATTATTAATCGATATAAAATTATAGAACCAAAACCAATATAATCAGTTCAGATCTATCTAGTAGAACCAACCCATTAACAGCCCTACATTTAGTGCCCAAAAAGCTAAACAGTTATATTTTGAGATGATTAGAGATAGAGTCCTACCTAGGCACATTAATGGGTTGGGTTGATTCAACCCAAACTTGACCCTATGCAGCTAAACTAAAATAAAGAGTAGATATTGAACCTGACACACCACATCCCATCTATAATACACTTATGTTTTTTTTTTTTTTTTTTCTTCTTAAGGCTCCATTTGGAAAAAGTACAAATAGATAATACAAAAATATAAGGTTTTACACTCCAAGAAACAGAACAATCTACACAAGACGGAAGGGTAACTCGACCCCATGAATTGCTAATACAGATAAACATTAAATCTTTAGGGAAAGAGAAAAAACAAAAATTGAGGGGTTGGGGAAACACAAAGAAAGCTTGATGCGCTGTCTAATACGTACACCTATATTCAGCCACGCTTATATATGTGAATGGATTGAATTCAGCACAGGTTAATCTCAAACCGAAATCGATCCAAAACCCCAATTAAGGTTGACCCAACACCGACCCAATAAGATCGGATCAGTGCGGGTTCACCACTAAATCCAGCCCACTTAGATCCCTAGTTCCATCGTATTGGTTAACAAATACGTTGTTTATGAAGACTGTTTTTTATGGTGTGTTTCAATGAATTGGTTATTGGCCAAGCCAAATAAAATGAAAAAGAAAAAGTAAAGTTCCCACATATGGCATCCAAGTTATCCAACTACCTTTCTTATAATTTTACAAGAAAAAGGCACGTGCTGCACGTGGTATTAATAGATGACAAAAAGCATAAGAGGCCTTAGATATTTTGTGCACTCTCCCGTAAAAATTGGGTATCGGCTTTACATAGTAATTGATATACACCGTATAAATGTAAGTCTTTAATACCAACCTACTTTAATTATGATATGGGAGATTTTTGTATTATTTCCCTTTTCATTTTAATTCTAAACATGCATATTTCATCGTTTTCACATTTTTAGCTTTATTCATATTGAAGAATGTGGTGTGGAATTTTCTAATAAATTCATGTCATATACACCATGGGGACTAGTTGGGTTGGTTTCTATGTTCAGACTATAAAAGTTAAAGGGTCACTTATTAAAACACGTTTTTTTTAATTTATTAAAACCTACTGTATAGTTTGTGTTTTTATTAAAATACCTCTAATTTATTTATTCGACCTTTCATTAAATGAAAGTGGAAATGACAGTTTTAATGTTAACATCCATTAAGATAAATTTAATAAAAAAAAAAAAACAAAAGTACCATTTTTATTTTTACTTAAACAGGCACATCCACTATTATTTTTTGGTTAAATTTTTTTTCTACACAAGAAAGTGCTATGGGTACTTTTGGAATAAACAATTATGGATCCATATCTTTGAACATTTTGCACTCAGTTTAGGGGTACTTTTGGAATAAATAATCATGGGTCCATGCCCTTAAACATTTTCCACTTAGTTTAGATGATCACTTTACTATTTTGATATGGCAAAACAAATAGTTCTTAATGAAAGAGTCTATTAAGTAACTAGATTACAAACCATAAGCAGTGTTTTAGTAAATCACCCAAAATTAAATCAGAATAATTTAGTAGTATCAAATAGTGTAAATGGGGCTAGGATCTGCTACAAACAAAAGCATGTACAATAGGTTGTACAATCAATCAAGAGTGAACATGCTACTGATTGGGGTCCACACCTTATGTGTATGGATTATTGGTTTGTTCTGGACTTCTAGGGTGCAAGTTGGGAAGGTTGGACTGGGTAGCTTGGGTTTAAGATCAACCCGGGTCCAACCCTAAAAATTGGGTAAGGCCCAAGCTTGACCTGAGTCCAAGGTCAAGCTTGAACTGTCCAACCCAAGCCTAGCCTGGACTGAAATTTGATGCACTCGAACTGGACTCGGGCCTGGGTAGGGATTGGGTTCATCTAGGGGTGAGAATTATTCGGTTAAAACTGAAATACCGAACCAAAATTTTGGTTTCAGTTTTTTCAATTTGTTTGTTTTAGTTTTTGGGTAATTCAGTTCGGTTAGTTCAGTTTTTAGGAATTTTGGTTTTCGAAGTTAGAAATTTTGTTAACCGAAAAAACCGAATTAACTGAAATTCATTATATAATATGTAATATAGAACGTATAATATATGATATGTTATATATTTATATATTAATATATTATAATGAAATTCAATTTCATAATATATATTAATATATAATATATTATAATATATAATATATTTTATAGGTTATAATATATAATATTATATACATATATATTAATTAAATTCAATTTTTAACCGAAAATTTTGGTTTTCTTGTAATTTGTTTTCAGTTTTGGTTTTCATTTTTTATTTTGGTTTTTAACGAATAAATCGAATGCTTACCCCTAGGTTCGTCAATCAACCCATATTAAAACTTAATATAAATGTATGTATGTATGGTTTATAAAAAAATGCATATATATGTACATAGGCAGGCTGGGGCTCAAGTTAGGATAAGTTAGAGTTAGACTAGAGCCAGGTTAAGACTAGGGGTGGCAACAAGCCGAGCTTTTCACGAGCTACTCGAGCTCGGCTCGTGAAAAGCTTGGCTCGGCTCAGTTTCAATCGAGCTCAAGCTCGAGCTCGAGCCCAATTCATTGGCTCGATTACTAAACGAGCCGAGTTCGAGCCTACTAGAGCTATAATAAAAATATTATAATTCTTAATTTTTTAATATCAAATAAAAAATATTTTTATATATAATTTTTTATTCCTATAAAATATTTTTTCTCAAAATTGAGCTCGAGCCGAGTCGAGCTCGAACTTATGAATTTTTTACTCGAGCCAAGCTCAAGCTCAAGGTTCTGGCTCGAACAGGGCTCGAGCTTGAGCCTTATAGAACAGTCTCAATCTGAGCTCGAACCTCATACTATTCGACTCGGCTCGATTCGAATCCACACCTAATTAAGACTATCTAAGAGTCAGGCTTAAATTTGGCATAAAAAATAAAAGAGTCCAAACTTTTGGGATGCCCTAAAATCCAAGTTTAACCCATGTAAAATTGCGGACTAGGTCAGCTCAAGCTCAGGTTGGGCTGCCCAAATTGCACCCCTAGACCCTAGTTTGTTCGATCTTAATTGGTTACATAGCCAGTTGAACACAAGTACAGAACTTTGTTTGAAATTTGTTTGTAGCAGCTCCTGGGTAATATTAATGCTTATAAGGGGCCCTATATCCTATGTCTAGATATTTTAAATGTAGTCATCAAGTTAAGACAATAAGAAAGTACAGTAAAAAATGTGATAATAGAATTCTGCTTTTGAGCTTTGGATTTACGCTAACCAAAACTGTGACAAAAGTGTTTTAAGCATTTGGTAAGTTTTTTCAAACATAATGTAACGTTAAATATATATACTTTTAAGCCCAAAACGCAGCCTAAATTTTGGGATTTCTGCTTTGGACTTCAAAAGCATAAATCCTGAAGCTTAGCGAAACATAGTGTAAAATGCCTTTTCATTTTTTTTACCCTTATATATTTACTCGTGGTTTTAAAAACCAGCAAACTACATGGTCAAACTGTTCGACTCGATAACTGTCACCGATCCAATTCCATTTATCACTCGGCCTGGATTTTCCCAAAAATAAAAAAATAAATTATTCAATTGGTCAATTAATAAACCATTGGCCCAAACGGTTGAACCACTAAACCATTCAATCTAAACACGGTTTACAATTTAATTTTTTAAACTAAAATAGGGCCGGAGAGGGGGACAAACCTGAGAGAAATAGATCAGACGGTTGAACTACAATCAGAATGCAATATACAACATAAATGGAATTCAAACATTTTGACTCCTCTAACTCAAACGGTTGAACTGCTGATCCATGAATAGGAGGAAAAGATAGTTTTGTTTCTGGGTTGGTTTTTAAAATCTCGCCTTTTAATATACACTAATAATTATATAAAGGCAAATAACTATGCTGCAAATAATATAAATAAGTTGAGGTTAAACAATCAAAAAATTATTAATCTAAAAATCCATTAAACTTTCACTAAAAATAAATATTAACAAAACTTAGTAAATATTAAAAATGTGTTTTAATTCTACTTAAAAGTCCAACTTAATAAACGCTAACAAAAATAAGAAATTTAAATATAAAAATATTAGTTGATAGTTTTAACAATATTATTAGATAACTTAAGAGTTGAAACCTTAATAAACGCTAATAAAAATATTAATTGATAGTTTTAAAATACCAACAATTAACTAAAAATCAAAAAAATTCTAAAAAACCTAAACATAATTAAAATACTAAAAATAATTAAAAAATATTGAAAATTAACAATATTTTATATTAAAAGGGTATTTACTAATAATAATTAAAATACTAAAATACAATTAATAGTATTTTATTATTAAAAATACCAAAAATTATTAAAAAACACCCAAGCCAGAAATTATTGAAAATTAGCTGTATTTTTTAATAACTATGGTATTTATTTAGTTATTAAATTTATTTTTACTGAAATCAAATATAAATTAATTTTGTAGTGACTAATAATCAAAAATAATTGATGAAAATACTGAAAATTATTGAAAAATACTCATATGCAAAAATTACTGAATAATAATGAAAAACATAAAAAATTAATTAAAAATCCAAAAATTCTGAAAAACCTAAAGCTTAAATAAAATACTAAAAATATTTAAAAATTTAAATTAATTGTATTTTATTGCAAAAAATACTGAATAATAATAAAAAAATAATGTACTTAATTATTAATAGTAATATAATTAGCAATAAATATTTTTTAAACTATAATTAATAGTAATTATAATTTAAGCTATAAATAGAGAAAATTACATTGAATTACCAAAAAGTTATATTTATTTACCAGAAAATTACATTCAATTAGTTTTAGCCAAGAAATTAGCAATATTTCTGAAAATATGATAATTTCCATAAATTATTGTATTTTAAATAAATACAATAATTTAATAATTATAATATTTTAATAGCTAACAATATTTTAATAATTAATAATAAAAAGTAACAAACCGTTTATAAGTTAACCTAACCCAATTAGATCTATAAATTTGCAGGCTCAAGCAACTATATTCTTTTGAGTTAGGTCTAGTTGAAATATAAACCATGCCTAGCCACACATTATCAGGGATAATTAGATCCAAAGTCTAATTGTGTATCAATTTTTTAGAGTCCAATGATAGCTTTAGTGGATAGGGCCCAAGCTAAACAACCCCTAATAAGCTTAACTTGGAAGTTATATGCATATATGGTAAATAACAAATTTTATATTAATATATATAAAAATGTTATATGCTTTTATACTAGACTAGAAATAAATAAAAATTTTAATTTGTAAAAAATCATAGTTTTATAATTAACATGGGCCTCTTTATCAACAGAAAATATGCAAGCCCGAGCCCGAGCCTAGCCCAACTATCAAGCCTAGATCTTGAGACCGAGCTTAGCCCTTATATAAAGCCCGAAGCCCAATCTGTACACAAAGTGTCTTATTTTCAGTATACTTTTATAAACTAATATTATATTAATTTAGTAATAAATTAATATACTAATTTATATTTCCTAATAGTAAATTGATATTTATTAATAATTTAAGAAGCATATATATATAGGGTAAATTACAAAGACCCCCCTATACTTTCTTTTGCTACAAAGACCCCCCTTGTACTATGACCATGAGACAAAGACCCCCTTCCGTTAGCTTTCTGTCCAAAAAATCCGTTGTAATATTTTTTAATCTCCATACTACCCTTGTAATATGGGAATGGAGGATTCACTTTATCGGAAGCTTGGTTTTTTAGTTCCAAGCAAATCTTCACCAAAAAAATAAGGTCTGTTTTAATCTTGCTAGGAGATGGACAGCAGCTGAAATTCAAGTCTCTCTCAAGGCAACACAACCGGAGGTCTCTGGATTGATGAAAATTGCCGGAGAGAGAGTAGTGCCAAAAGGATCGAAGCTAGTAAGTGTTATTTTTTCTTTCCTTCTATTCATTTTGAATTGCAGAAACTAGAGTTTCGACTTTAAATCATCAGAGAAATCTGTGTATATCTATTGAAATTAATTATTATTTTTTATGCAGGAGGATGGATTAAGCTTATTTGTTGGGCTTCCTCTAGATGTTGTTTCCCATGGCAACACACTGAACCATGTAAGAGTAATCGGGGCAAGGCTGAAAGCTCTGAAGCTCTTGGGGGAAGAAGGGGTCGAATTTCCCATCTGATGGGGGATAGCCGAGAAGGAATCCAGAGGAAAGTACAACTAGTCGGGATATCTTGAGCTTGCAGAGATGGCCCGAGATGTGGGTCTCAAGCTTCACGTGTCTCTCTGCTTCCATGCCGCCAAACAAGCCAAAATTGAACTCCCTAATTGGGTGTCAAAGATTGGTGAAGCACAACCAAACATCTTCACCGATAGGTCGGGACGGCGCTACAAAGAGTGTATGTTGCTGGCGGTGGACGATTTGCACGTCCTCTATGGGAAGACTCTGGTTCAGGTTTACCAGGAATTTCTGGAGAGCTTCAAATCTTCATTCTCAAACCTCATGGGCTCTACAATTGTGGTAAGCTTCAAATCTTCATTCTCAAATCTCAACCCATGTCATTTATTTATTTGTTAGAACCAGTTCTTATCAATGGCTGCTTTTTCTATGATCTCCTCAGGATGTTTCAATGAGCCTGGGACTGGATGGAGAGCTCGGGTACCCTTCTTGGCCGTCAGCGGGAGGTGGCAAGATTACAGGAGTAGGAGAATTCCAGAGCTACGACAAAAACATGCTAAAGTATCTGCAGGAACACACCCAGGCGACCGGAAACCCCTTCTAGGGCCTCTCAGGTCCCCATGATGCCCCCAACTACGACTAGTCGCCCTTCACCAACATCTTCTTCAAGGAGAACGGAGGCTCCTGGGAGACCCCATATGGAGTCGCTCTTTTCCTGATAAAAAAGCAGAGCATAATACAACACAGCAAAAGTGAAACCACAAGGAGGCTTCCGGTGGCTATGAGAATTACGTCTTTCATTTTGGAGAGTTGAGAGAGAGAAAGAATGAGAGGGGACGGTGAGGGAGGGGAAAAGAAGAGAAGAAAGGGAAAACGATAGGTTAAATAGGTTTTAAGAGAAAGGACAAAAATAAGAAAATAGAAAAGGTTTAATGGGGTATTTTAGTAATTTAATGCATTCCGTTATCTGACTTAACGGTCAAAGGGGGTCTTTGTCTCACGGTCATAGTACGGGGGGGTCTTTGTCACAAAACAAAGTACAGGGGGTCATTGTCACAAACCCCATAGTACAGGAGGGGTCTTTGTAATTTACCCTATATTATATAACATAAGTACTTTTTTGTATATGTAATAGTATCAAGCTAAGCTTATTTGAGAAAGCCTGAGCTCGAGCCCATGAGTCTAAAATCTTGTTCAAGCCTAGAAAATAACGGGTCAGGTCGAGCCGGGCTATCAGGCTACCTGGCCCACGAATAGGTCTAATTGTATATATAAACAATTGTATACATCAAAAATCATATGAAATAAAATTTTAAACATCTTTTTCATTTTTTTTTAAAAACGGACTTCTCGTAGCTTGGCCCGTTCCACGGCTTGGCCTGGCCCAAGGCTCGGCCCAGCATGACTTGATTTACACCTCTACTTGAACTTGCCCAATACTGGGGATGGGGCGGGGAAATTCGAGGACCCATCCTTGATGAGGAGTGGAGTGCCTTGCCCCTGAACTCGCCCGACATTGAGGAGTGGTTGCCTTGCCTTGAAACCGCCTAACACTAGGGACAGGGTGAGAATGGGGTAAAGTGTTTTGACTATGGGGCAGGGACACAGATGGGGTGCCTTGCCTTGAACCCACCCCGTTGTCATTCTTATATAATTGTTAATTATTAGTGAAATTAATAAAAATATTAATTTTTATAATTATTTTTATTTAGCTAAATGTAATCAAATTTTCATTTAAAAATAATAACAATTATTAAAATTACTATAAATTATTAATAAAACTAAATTTATTAAAAAATATTTATTCATATTAAATTAACAATAATTAATTTCTACAAATCAACACTAAATGAAAATACAATTATTAAAATTTTAAATATTAACAATAATTTTGAATACTTTTAATTAATTAACAATAAATTTGATTATTAATTTAATATTAAATAAAATTATTAAATTTTTCAGATTTTCCCATGCATTACACAGGTTCCACTAGTATACAATATAAAAGGAACTCAATCGTTTTGACCCCTCAAACGGTTGAATTGCTGATCCATGAATAGGAGGAAAAGATAGTTCTGTTTCTTGGTTGGTTTTTAAAATCTCGCCTTTTAATATACACTAATAATTATAAAGGCAAATATCTATGATGCAATAATCGTATCTAAGGTAAGATAGCGGAAATATTTTTTGATGCCTAAAAGGTATGATACAAAAAAGAATTTTGACCAATCAGACTCCTTGTCAATTTTAATGAATATCAGATAATTGGTTACCGCTTTTATGGTACTGGTTAATTGGATATGAGTTTTTAAGCTATCATGCCTTCCTCCTCGAACTATAATATACAAATATACTAAATGAAGTAGTTATTGTCAATGTTTACAATCCATCCTTGACTCGTCAGAGTGGTTGACCCATCACCTTGAATAAATGGGTCTATTACACCCCAAAACCCAATAAAATCTGATACCAAAAATGCCCGATAATAAAGTTCTAAAACCTGTTTGACTGCTAAAAAACCATAAACCCCGATAGCAAAATTGGTGATTCATTCAAACTGTTCGTGATGGTTCAAACTTCAAACTAATTGATAGATAGAACCTTCTTTCTTATATTCTTCTTATTCTTCACAATTAATATCGTTCTGGTTCAACTTTATCTCTCCCTCTTTTGGATCTCTCTTCCCCTCTACTAGGGTTTTAAAAATTGGATCTAATCCAATGGAGAAGCTTCATGGTTCTAATCTAATGGTTGATTTCATTATTCAGATGCCATGAATTGGACTGTTTAACCCAAATGATTGAACCAATGAATTATCACCTAGAAAGAAAATTGGGCCATCCTCCAACTTACAATTTAAAACATTGGTTCTTCTAAGTCATATATGCATCAATGTAAGGAACATTTTTGTATTGCTTTTTGTTTTATTTTTCTTATAAATAACACTATGGCTCCATTTGCTTTTTGGTAAGTTATTTATTCAGGTAAATGTATTTACCCAGGTAAGTGTTTTCCAGGAAATGCTTACCCGGATAAGTGCATTTATCCATGTTCTTTTATTTCTTATGTAAATAAGGCAATGACCATTTTAGCCATAAAAATCTAATATTAAAGGGGTGTTTTTGTCTCATTCAAGTATTGACAATTTTCCCTCCAAGTGGGAAGCTTATTTACCCACTTATGAGATGGGTATCACTTATCCAGGTAAGTGATACCCAGGAAAATAAACTTTCCTTGGTCCCCACATAAATCTGAAAAAAGAACATGGGTTTCTTGGTCAATAGGAATCAAAATCCAAATGACCAATTTCCCCCCTCTCAAAATCCAGAAAAAGAATGCCCCCTAAATATAAAGGTGGCAATGGGTACCCAATTACCTAGTACTCAGATATACTTGCCCTAATTAGCTAGGGCTATGACTATAAAATGTAGAACCAATCATATCCAACTTGGGTCCATAAATTGAGATTCAATATGAGTCTGATCCAACTATTAAGCCAGTCAATGGGTAACTAGAAAAAAAAAGCATTAAGATTGTATTTGGTTTCATGGAAAACAAGAGAGAAAATACAAAGGTGATGAGAAGTTCCCAAAAAATTTCACAAATTTTATTAAAAACGTATCCTCAATTTTCTATATCTATCTTATTTTCTATCAAAACAAACATAGCCTTAATGGGATTTTTTTTCTTTTTTTGCAAATAAAGCTTAAACCATTTTCTTTTCTTTTAGGTATCATATGTAGTGCAACTCTGAACCAGATACAAATTATACAATCAGTTCAATTTTATATCTATTTGTTTATAACAATGATTTGCATTCCTACCTGATACAAAATTTGTAAAATTTACATTCAACCTATTTGTAGTCCTATGCAATCACACTAATATAAATGAAATCTGCACTGCAACCAAACTAAACTTTAGGGTGCATTAGGTTGCAGTTTGGGCTGCGTTTGAAAACGATGCAAATAAGTGGGAATGCAAATATGTAGAGTGTAAAACGGTTCATATAAATTGTAAATTTGGGTTAGCTTTGCACTGATAAATTTACCTTCTTACCAAATAGACTTTTATCTGTAATGGATGCAAATATGAATTCCAACAAAGCATGTGTTTTTTTTTTATCAAAAGCCCACATATCAATATAAATATGCATTGGTATGTCATTTGTCAATGCATAAATGTAATGTTGCCAAACACAGACAAAAGTGAACCAGAGTACAAATTTACCCTGAACTAGGATTTACACTCCATTTGCATTGTTTCCAAAGGTTGCAATGCAAATATGAATTAGATACAAATTTTGCACCTGATTCAGTTTTGTAACTGTTTATTATTCATAATTATGATTTGCACTCCTACATAATACAAAATTTGGATTTTTTGTCACATTTGTACACTTGCAATGTGAAATTTTCATTTCAAAAACTGATGCAACATTTGCACCACCTTTCTCCTACTTCAATTCTCCCTCATATAAAGTGAGGACTACATTATCTTGCTTTCTATCTCACTTCTAAATAAATAATCCTATCACTATCTTCACTCTCTTGCAACATTTTAAAAATATGGACTATGGAGTAAAAGTGAATCAGAATGTACACTCAACCTATTATGTCACTTCCATGCATTTACATCGGTGCAAATGCAGCCTTAGTTACAAACTGCTTGCATATAATTTGTTTTTTTTCTTTCATTTTTTGGAAAAGTACGGATAGACTAATTTAAGGGTGGATTCGAGCCAAGCCGAGCCGAATAGTACCGGATTCGAGCTGAGCTCGAGCTCGGTTCGAGCCAGAACCTTGAGCTCGAGCTCAATTTTGAGAAAAAAATATTTTATGAAAATAAAAATTATATATAAAAATTTTTTATTTTAAATTTTAAAAATTAAGAACTATAATAATTAATAATTATAATATTTTTATTATATATATTATTTTCTATAATTTTATTATATATATATATATATATATGAGCCACGCTCGCGAGTCTCACGAGTTGAGCTCTAATAGGCTCGAGCTTGGCTCATTTAATAATCAAGCTACTGAATTGGGCTTGAGCTCAGTTGAAATCGAGCTGAGTCGAGCCGAGCCGAGCTTGAGCAGCTCATGAAAAACTTGGCTCATTGCCACCCCTAAGCCAATTGCAAAATTTTGATTTCCACTGCAGATCTATAATACTTCAAAAGGTCATTTACCCCCACCCTATGCACCAATGCCTGGTGATGAATTGGCATCAATTCCGAGCTGACACCTACCCCAACTGTAATTTGTGCCTATGAATTTTGACCATGGGCTGAACCGTCAAACTGTTTGCGCCGAACGGCCCAAACCAAAACCAGATAATATCCGGAATCCATATATATGACAGGGTCTGGCTCTGGGAGCCTTGGTAGACCCGGTCCGATGTCAACACGTTGACATATCGTAGTCCAAACTCCAAAACGGTATTTTCGGTATTTACGCTTGTACGTAGGGGCAGTTCTGTAATTTCATGAAAGTCTTCAGCGACTTTTTGTTCGATCCCTCCAATCTCCAGTCTCCAGTCTCCCTCCATTTTGCGGCTCAAAAAATTCTACAGAAAAAAGGAGGGAGATTCTTTTCTGGCGCCAACACCATGCGGGAAACCTTCAAACAAATCGGCGATTTTGAAGACCAAATAACGGATTATAAGACTGACACGTGGCACCTGTCTTCTGGCCATCCACGATTTCGAGATGCTGCTGCACGACAACACAACACTGTCTGTCTGAAGTAATTTTATTTCCTTTGGACTTTTTTTTAGCCTTTTTCACTCTCAACGGGATCTAAGAAAAGGAAAATCTTAGATCAGACGGTTGCTATTAACCCGGACCCCATTAGTGAAGCGGTGGATCTCGGCCGTTGACCAATCATCCATTAACCTGATAATAATATATGTACTAGATTCAAGTAGGGCCCACTTATGGTAACCATCTTCTAGCTGTCGGTTTGGTTTCAAATACGAATTTTGAGGATACCAGTCCAACGTTTGGGAATGACTTGCGTGGGACCCATTTAACCTAAACCCTTGGATTGACTTGAAACTCTAAACAGCTTTTGTGTTTCTTTTCTTGCTTTCCCGGTGTAGAAAGGCCAAATAAGGAATAGGCTGATAGGCCGGCCGGCCGTTCAGGACCCGGCGATAGCAGTAATGCAATATAGCACGTAGGCCGTAGCTGTAGCCTGTAGGGATGTCGAGTAAATTAATGGGAAATTTTATGGGCATTTTGGTAATCAAACAACATTACCCAACCAGTAAATAATTAATCGTCACGTGGTCTTGGGACTTGGGGCTTTAGACTCGCACGTGTTAAAACATGCAGCCGTGTCAATGTTGTCAAGTACGTACAAACCGCGTGTGTCAGACACGTGGTCTTTTGCGTCTATTTTATGATGACCATTCTTCGATCCTATCGGAAAGAGTAAAAGCCACGTCAGTTATCCCTTCAGTGGAAATAGTAATGTGCGAAAGTACAGTTATACCCCCTCTCTCTGTTAATACTTAATATAATACGTACACAAGGGAAAAAAGAAGGGCGACTTTTTAGTTTTGAGTTTGACCGGTTGACCCTCTCTATTAAGTTGACCAGAAAGGAAAGGGTGAAAAAGACAAGGTCAGTTTGGTCATTTTCTGGTTAGGTGACGTGGCTTGCTTAATAATTTACCACGCTCATGGAGAGAGTAATCTCCACTACTAACAAATAATTTCCACTAACGAATTTGTTGATTCTCAACACGCAACACAAAAACTCGTCGGGACCACATGTAAGCAACGAATTCGGATTAGCCGAATGCGGTGGCTGATCAGCAGGCTGTGGAACCAATGGTGAGGTTCCACGTCAACAATAAATTTATGGGCCTCACTGTAAAAAGGTGTGGGAGCGTGGAACCTTATTGGTTCCACAGCCGCTGAACAGCCACCGCGTTCAGCCAAACCTTGCTCGTAAGCAACACGTGAAACGCATGCAAAAAGGATGGACCCACATTCTTCTTGTCGCATAGCCGTCGGATCAAATAATATTCCTCCTGGGTGTGGCGTGGGGCCTACCGCTGCTTCTCCTCCGTGTACCACGCGTAAGGATTGGTGCGCGAGGTCGTTATGCATGCCCACGTGCATCGAACCTACATACTTCCTTTGCGGTGAACAGCTAATCGCTTAAGAGTAAAGACAATGAACGCCTGAACGGAAGACACTAGACACGCTTGCCCATCCACGTGGGTGCTAGTGGTAAGGCCAACCGTCCGATCTAAGGACTTCAGGACCACTCCATGTCCACACTGGGTCCCACCACATCACCTGATGGATAACAGTACGATTGATCTGTAGAAATACTACTTTCTGAACCTAACGGTCAGGATTGACGAATACTTTACTAGTATACAACCGGAGTATGAGAAAAGAATACCCCGACAAATTTGACTGTAGGACAAGGTGTATTTAGTCATTTTAAGAAATAAATACATAATTACGGGTATAGCCGACCAAAAAGATGGTCGTTCGCGTCAACGTCGGTGTTTAGTTTTGGATAGAGTTATTGCGATCACCACAAGTGACAAGCCGACGCAAGAGTGGCAAGAGCTGAACAGAAAATATTCTTGACACGCGTCCTCGCCACGTGTCTCGTGCACCCACAAAAGGAAGGTGGGTCCAGCCTTAACGGCTTGCCCATTAGGACATTTATACGAGGGAAGTAGGGAACAGACGAACAGTCAGCGATTTGGACGTCAATGCTTTTCTGCGGCATATGTAGATTGTAGCTGAAAAGTTCATCAATAGATGTCATTAATTAATATTAATCATATTTAGGTAACAAAATAAATATGATATAATAATTATTTGTATGGACGATGGAAATAAAATCTAATGGAATCTACAAAGCGAAAGGTCCACCGTCCACAGGCCATCATCTCCTTCATTCCAAACTATTTTTTTTTTTTTTAATTTTCTAGAATTTTTTACGTTTCTGGGTTTTTAAAAAATTCATGAGTAGTTAAATTTTGTATTATTTTTTTTTAATTTATCAATAAAAATCTATCATACTTGAAAGATATGATACCAGAATGACTTTGACCAGTTATTATTCCCCATGAAATTTGGTGAAAATCCAGCTGATTTATTTTTACTTTTATGATACAAGTTGATTGGTTGAAAGTTTTTTTCTATCATGTCACCCAATATATGTTATTCTTTGAAACCTTACCTTTTTTAAGCTCCAATACATGATACCTAAAACTTCTCCCACAAACATCTCTTCCTCTTAAAAATTCTCTTAAACTATCTCATATTATTGATCACCACTTCTTCCTATAATATCTCCTTTCTCCCTCTCTTAAATTATCTCACTCCCAATAACATAATAAAAATATAGTTTTTCCCCAAAACTCTCTGTCTCTCCACAATAAAAGTGTTATATTCCCAGAACTCACCCTCTGCATCATTTTCTGCACCAACCAATGGAAATTTGCCACGCCAACCTGCACTTCCCATTTCAAAATTAAAGTCAGGATGGTGTGGCAGATTGCTATTGGTTGGTGCAGAAAGTTATCTGCCACCCCATATTTTGCAAGATCAATAAAAGCCTCCAACACACTAGACTTAATCATCTACCAAAAAAAATAATAAAAAAAAATCATTTACCAACCTTTTTTGACTTCTAGGCATGTTGGTTGAGCCAGATTTGCATACAAGTGTTAAGTCCAATAAAAGAGTGGGCTTAGATTGTATGCACGCTGCTTTGATAAGAATCTTTCATCTTTGATATGGGGATGGTTGTTAAGAGATCTCATGATGCTTCTTAACAACAACTGCATAAATTGCACCAACCCTTATGACCTCATTATATGGTTAAGTGGAGTCCAGGTCAGAAACTTTGGGCTGCACAACTTGCAGAAGTTTTGTTGGGCAAAGGTTCATTTGGGAGCAAAGTTCAAAGTATTGACACATATCGGCCCATACGCCCCTACAGTGAGTGTATCGGGGGTCTGACCGGTTCAGAGGGTGAAGCCCTAAACCGGTTTCAGAAAAAAATAAAGAAAAGTAAAAACAAGGTATTGATTCGCCCGATACACCCCTACCGGCATATCGATATTTTGAACCTTGCTTGGGAGTTGGGTCCAATATTTGGAACAACTGAGGCCAGAGAGAGAGAGATGCAAGCATTTGGGTTCAGTAACTTTCTAGGTAGCTTCTGTTAATGCCCCTAAATTCTACCATGTGGAATATCATTTAGGGCATAGAAGAGCTCCATATGTTAGGCAAATTTCCACTTAGAATCCCTTGACATGTCCAGATGAAATTTCCTTTTAAATTGGAACATGGCTTCAATACATGTGGAGTATTGGGTTGAAGTGGAGTGAAGAAAGAAACATGTGGCCATTTAAGAGGATTCCCAATCCAATTGACTTGTTTGATTGGCCACAAGATTCATGTACGTGACAAAGGTTGTTGCGTTTGTCTGAAGAGCCTCCCTACAAATTGAGAAGCAATTTTAGAGAAGCTATTAAAATATTGGCAAGCCCATACGGACAGTAGATTGAAGTGAACGAGACAGTCGAGGCTCATTGACAATCATATCTATCTACACAGATATTGCATGTGAATCGCTGCTTTCTTGGTAATCTGAGTTCTTAATTTCTTTGGGTTCTCTGTTTTAGAATTAGTCACCTGTGGTAATATAGATATCCTACTCATATTTTCTTTACTTTTCTTCATTGTTTTTTCCTTTTACACAACAACCCGTCATTCTTTTTTGCTACTACTGATGGCAAAACATCCATTAAAGATGGGTACATTGTCTGTTGTCTTATCTAGTTAGAACAGACAATTTGATTTTGAACAACTCTGAGGATGGAATGATAACCGTCTCATTCATTAGGTAGACTCTAACCAACGTCTTCGATATAAAACGTTAAAATCTTCCTTCCCTGTTAAAGTGAGTTCTTTTGCTAGCCTAATAGAGAATTTTTCTCAACTGTCATCTAATTTTTTGAGGTGCCTGAAATGGACTTCTCTTCTCAAAGGTATAGCCGTATAGGTATAAGGGAAGATATTAACTGCATGTTCTGCTGCTTTCTGATGTTCATTTGGCTGTCTCGTCTCTGACCACCAACTTCCGAGCAAAAAGCAAACATTCAAAAATGACGAGGAAGATAATGCGTTCAGTTCTGATATGCACTAGAGATGTGTATAGGCTCAAGGAAATGTAGAAATGAAACAATATCTTGGTTATATTTTACCTTAAGAGGAATCTTAAAAATATCAGCTCAATAAAAACCACTCTAGAAAGATTCCAAAAATCATATCATATTTCCTCTCTTTCTTTGTATGCAAAAGTGTCACTTGGCCAAACATATTCATGTAGGAATCGGCTTCCTCGACATCCTCCTATTAGTGCTAACAATCCATGATGTCCAGGATATGTATACTATGGAAGTGTGGGACAATCCAGTAGGAATCAGCAAAACAGCTTTTCTGGTGACTACAAAAAATAGCTTATGGACATGGGCTGAGTAATGGTAAAGAAAATATTGCTATATGAACATGCATATGTATATGCCTATAATGCAAGAGATCACAATGCCATGAGAGTACATAGGTCTTCCATACCGATTTGTCTCCGATCTTTGCCATTCCTCCCAAAAGCATTCCGTGCCAACTTTGTTTTCTTCTCTTGCAACTCTAATATCCTCTCCTCAATGCTATTCCTGGCAATCAACCTCACAATCTTAACATCCTCTTTCTGCCCAATTCGGTGTACCCGGTCCATGGCCTGTTCCTCAACTGCTGGATTCCACCATGGCTCCACTAGGTAAACTCTTGATGCCGCTGTCAGATTTATCCCTGCACACGAAGCCTTGAGGCTTGCCAATAATACTGTTGGTGCTTCTTGACCTTGATCTCCAAATTCTTTGATCACTTGAGCTCTCCTCTTTGCACTCATTGACCCATCCAACCTCAAAATCCTGAAACCAGCTTCCTTCAGTGGCTCTTCAAGTAATATCAGCATCTTACTAAACTGGGAGAATACAACAGACTTTTTAGAAGGATTCTCATTCCTGGATCTCACCAGGAGTTTCAAGAGGGCAGATGCTTTGGAAGAAGTGGTTCTAGAAGGAATATCTTGGTTGTCACCATCTATTGGTCTTGGTGGAGCCAAAAATAGATCTGATTCTCTTAGTGGTCTTCGACAGAGGGGACAAGAGGCATTGGGACGTTTGAGGCTTCTCAGTATACAGGTCCGGCAAAAGATGTGAGCACAACATGTGATGACAATATCAGTTGGTGGAGAAATGCAAATTGGACAATCAAAGTCGTCTCCATCTTGTAGCATTGAGAGCAACTTTTGCAACAATTCTGGATTATTTGTTACATCTGCAGAATTCAAGCATTAATTAGAAGTAGATAAAAACCATATGAGAACAATATCATATTTTAGAACTCATCCCTGACAGGAACTTATGTAGATAGTAAGAATAATAAGCATCTAAATTATTACATTTGAACGTGCCCAAGAAACTCTATCAACCTTTCAATATAGCCTACATTATTTACATGAAAAATATTCATGCCTAAAAAAGCAAGAATATTAATAACAATAAGCAAGTTAATCCATAAGAATGATAGTGAGGATAAAAACTTTCTTGTATCTGGTAGAAATGCATCTGACATCACATGGTGAAACATTGTGTAACCTGTCTGGTAGAAAAATAGGGACCGCTCGAAAACTAGGAGCGGTGGTTACCTCACACCGACTTCACCCCCATTCTTCTTCTCGTAATCTCACGAGGGAAAAGTCTTCAAAGTTTGTTCATCGGCATCTTCCTCTTGAATGTGGCAAACCAGAGCAGTCCGACTGAAACAGCCACCGCCGCTACAACTTCTAGCAGCGCTGCTCTATCTTTGCTTCGACCGACCATCCTCCCTCTTCCTCTCCCTTTTCCTCTCTTTCCATCCCATTCTGCCCTCACTTCTTTCCATTGAATAGCTGTTGGACACCTTCTCCGGCGAAATAGAGCAGCGGCAGTGGACATTGTCCTTGCAGTGAATCCCAAGCATCTCCGGAAGACTCCCCATCCGAAAGCTCATCGGGTCTTCCCTGATTTTCAGATCATACCCCTGACAGTCTCTTGTTCGGCGGTGAATAAACAGCAACAAAGCTGTCTTTTTGCTTTCTTATGCATTTCCCCTTGCAGCGGCAATCGAGAAGAAACAGAGAGGGTGAAAGAGGAAGGGGTAGCCGCCGCCCGCTGCTGGTTCACCGCCTTCGTCGAGAACTCCGAGATGATGAGCAGTTCGGAGAGGGGAGACAATAAGCCTGAGAGGGAGAAGGTTACCGAGCTGAGAACTTCCGCCGCCAGCTCGCTATGTCCAGACGAGGAAGATAAACAGTGCCGACCTCCTCAGGTTTCGGTTGGAAGAAAGAGAAGATGAACAGTCGTCTCTTCTCTGTTTGGACTAAGGGGAGAGTGAAGAGAGAGAGGGAAAAATTTTTCTTGCAAAACAAACACTGGAAAGTGGATTTTCTCACAAAAATTTTCTCAGCAAACAAATGCATTATAACTAAATGAGAAAATAATTTTTCCTCTTCTCATCCCATCCTTTCTCAGCCCAATTTTCCCAGCAATCAAACAGACCCTAAGGAAATTTACATGTAAACTACACAACACCCTAGTAAACGGAAAGCAACACTTGAAACAATATTAAGGATCCCTTTTGCTTTTCTACAGTCAATAATTGAATTAGTGGTGTCATCACTCATCAGCTCAAATACACCTGAGGGAAAATCAGGGAAAAGAGTAGGGAATGAAGGCATGTTTTGAATTTGCTAATCTGATGAGTGCTATTGTTAAATCCTGCTGTATACAGGAGGGAGGCACAAACAATCTTTATTTTAATTTTTTTCCTTTTCTAGCTGGCCATGTGGAGATTAGAGAAAGAAAGAAAACAAAAGAGAATCTGGCACCACTTAATGAAGAAAATAATGGTCCAATTGGTTCTTGAGAAAATGAGCCCTTCATCAATTAGAAGAGTAGCTGCCAGGCTTAAGGCACAGAAGACACAATTAATCTCCAAACATAGTCCTTCCCAAATCACCATCCATGTTCTGAAAAATAATAGTAATTCTCAAACAGCCACTGATGCAATATCTCGATTGGTCCCACCCAAGGTCCAACCATTTGAGGTCATCCAATCCAAAGAAGCATTACCTAATCTCTTGGGTCTAAGCAGTGGAAGAGATGAGTGACTTCCCCCTACATATGACAGTTTCTTTTTTACCTTTTCGTTCTTTTCTTTTTCTTTTCTTTTTTTGTATGAAAAGCTGCAGTTTCTTCTCAACATAGACATGTTTATCTTTTCATAACAGTTTTTCATGAGAATTTCTCCAGGAATGTACAAGGCTACAAGCTACAGTGGCTAGCAGACTGGAAGATGTTTTGGTAGGAAACAACCAGAAAGATAACCAAGTATAATGATTAAGCTCTAGCAGGTGAAAGAAAATGGACCCCTTTAAGATCATTGAAGAGTTGCAATCTTACAGGTCTAGTACCATAGTTTCCAATTTTCAGGAAATTTTAATAAAATTCCTTATTCCACAAAGGGGAGAAAAAAAAACTCCTGCAATATAGAAATTCCAAATTTTGGTAAAATGTCAGGGAAATTGGGCTCCGGATCTGCGACCCACCTCGGCCTCTCTACATCTCTCCCCACGATCCACTAAGAGGACACCTGTAACATGGGCCTAAAGCTCCCATATGCAAGCAAAGCCCCACTTACATGTGTGTCCAAGCTGTCGCCCTTTACTGTCCTGTAATTAAGCAAAAACTTTTGGTTCTCTTCTTTTCCCATTCCCAATCGAACAACAGCCTGAACCCTAACCTATCATCTTCTTCCTCTGCTCTGTTTCTCGCATAGCTCATGGCGGTGAACTCTTCTTTCTGGCTCTATCGTGTTCCTCCGTTAGACGTAAATAAACCCAAAGTTTTTTGGCTCCCTTTCCCCTAACCCATCCTCTTCTCCCTCCGCCCTGTTCCTCCCATGGCTTACAGTGGTGAGCTCCTCTTCTTAATCGAATGCTACATGGAATTTCACTCAGTTTGAAGGAAGCAGTGAGCTTCTCCGGAGGGCCTGTTTGAAATGCAGGTATTCTTTAATTCAAGAGAACAGCGAACTGAAGAGAGGAAACTGGTGGTTCTATTACAAGAGAAGTCCACCATTCTGTTCAATGGAAAAGATTATTTTGGTTCAAGAGAATGGTGAACTGAAGAGGATGCTGCCGTTCTGCTACAAGAGAAACCTTCCTTCTATGTGGTGGAAAATAATATTACAGGTTCAAAACAACGGAGAACTGTAGAGAGGATGCTGCTGTTCTGTTACAAGAAGTCCACCATTCTGTTCAATGGGAGAAGAGACTCAGAGTTCAGAAACGTACATTCAATTGTTTAGTGGGGATTCTCTTTTCTTTTTAATGTTATTGAATCATTTAACAGAATGGATTTAACATCCGCTCTCTTATGTCCGCACATAGGAACTTTGGACCCATGTCATAGGACAGGTGTCCTCTTTGTGGTTCGTGGGGAGACGTGGGGAGGCCGAAGTGGGTAGCAGATCCGGAACCGGGAAATTGCACCTATGTAACCAATATCAAATTGAGGAAAAAAAGTTCATGAGGTATAGAAAACACCCCTAAACCATACTTCAATGAAGAAAAAATGGTTTATTGATTATAGGCCCCCAATCAACAAATGCATTTAATTTTTTAGAAAATGAATTTATTTTTAATGTTTTAAAGAATAAATTAAACATATAATAATAAATACACAATAATAAGAAATAATTATTTAATGGGGATATGAAATATATGTTTCACAAATATGTTAAGAATAACAACTATGTTATATAATAATAAAGAATAAATTAAACATATAATAATAAATAAACAATAATAAGAAATAATTATTTAATGGGGATATGAAATATATGTTTCACAAATATGTTAAGAATAACAACTATGTTATATAATAAAATTATATTTTACTGAATTATAAGTTTTTAACAAACTAATTATAGAGAACACTAATGTGGACCCCACTAAGCTGGTCCCCACTGTTCGTATGTCAGCAATAAGTTATGATTAGGATTAGTTCTTTATGATAAGATTAGGATTAGTCTTTTTTCTTTATCTTATATTATCTTATCTTGCCATGTAAGCAATTCAGTCCTTTTACAAGTATGATACTATGTATATAAATTTAAGAGGGGGGCAGCTGTTTCAAACATCAACCCAACTCTCTTTTATCAAAATCTCTCTCTCTCTCTCTCTCTCTCTCTCTCTCTCTCTCTCTCTTTCTCTTCTCCCTCTTCTTTTCTTATTTTTTTTCTTCTCCTTTTAAGTGTCTGTTCAATCTTGAGCGACTACTCTAATTAAAATGAGAAAAGTAATAAAATAGTAATGAATTAGGATAAATTATGAAACAACATAACAACATCGTAAATTCCAACATGACTTGCTTAATAGGCAAACATAGAAAGGATGACATAGGACAGGAAGGAGAAAATTTTACAAGGATGAATGTGGTAGGTAAAGAAAGAGAATGAAGGATATCACTTAAGAGAGGAAGAAATCCCAACCTGAAAAGAGATGAAGAAAAGAAACAGTGCACTATCAAGAGAAAAAGAGAGAAAAGAGAAAGATCGCACCATTAGCTGCAAGCAACTTCAAAGTTCAAAATAAACTTTCATTTCATTAACTCAAATTTAAAGTTTCAATTATAATAATTCTATTTATAGATTAATCACAGATCTTGGGTCTACCTTTACAGACTCCAATTTAGGCCCAAGAACTCGCCCAAAATAACCTCTACACACTTTCAAACTAAGGCAATATAATAGGTAATCCATGTGGACACTCAAATAATGACTACGTTTAAAATAACTGAAATAACACCATTCATCTTATTACAACTAAACAAATTAAAAACCAAAAACAATTCCAGGAGTGACCAAAACTCAAATCCTGGCAATGACTGAAACCCTGCCAAATGACCAACTCCTCAAAACATGTCATATTTACAATATATTGGTCTCGTTGGATAGATGATTCAATTACCTAATGGCACTAAATTCATTCAAAACAGACAAGTATTTCAAAAACTCTCAAATAAAACTCTATCAATTAAATTAACCCTCTAAGATAATTAACTTGAGGCATTAATAAACTAAAAAAAAATTTACACAAATCAAAAATACCAAAAGTCAAATGATCCAAAAATTACAAAATTGCCATTGGTTCAAGAATATGAAGAATCTTGGTTTCTTTTCCATTGATTTTCATTTGCTTCCAGGTCAGAATTGAAGGGAGTAACTGCGCCTTTATATTTGACACCAAATTAGAGACAGAAAAAAATAAAAAAAGTTGCTATGCCTTTATATTGGCACTCATTTATCCTACAGAACAAGAGTCATTACATGCACTTTTATTAATTCCCCCAACCTTTTTCTTATTTTGATAGTGTTCCCGGTTTGATCTCCTAGCCTTGTATTTTATATTTTTTCATATATTTTGTCATTAGTTTACCTTCTTCATATTGTTGCTTTCCTCATCTTGAGAAGTTAAAGATTAATAGTATGGAAAAGAACATTACATTTCACTGACATAATGTCATAAACTAACTAATCTATTAAAAATAACAAAAATGGAAAATCAATTAAAAATAATAAATTCCATATGTGCTGTTTAAATATGATTGAAGGCATGAAATACTGTTACTACTTATTTAGGCATTATAAAATGGAAGAGTTTCCTAATCAGGTTAAATAAAGAGCTTCCTTACACAACCTACCATATTTCTGTCACAGAGCCATGTTAGTGGCGGTGTTGCATGGACTCTCCTAAATGGATGAAGTGTTAGTGTCAGACATGTGTCAAACTCTGAGACCCCATAGAATTTTGAAGGACACTTCCACTTGACATTTTTCTTCTTCTCCTTTTCAACAATGTACATAATGATTGTCATTCTTTCTATAAGATGTTGTTAAGAAGCAAAGATAGTCTTTTAGACCTTTTTCTATAGGCTAGTAATGTTAAACTACAACAAAATATGGAGTGTTTTAAAACTTTGTACTTTTCTATAGATATGTCCTCAAGTCCTTGTTTCTTCACCTTGCAGAGTCAGACTCCCAGACATACCAGATTCTGATTTCCATGTCTGTCCATGAAACAATGATTGGTGTTGCCAACCAAACTGTCCACTGAGTAGAGGTCCCTCTTGACAGTATGCATGTTTAATCCTGTAATCCCAATTCAGCCCTACCTTGTATAGGTGGAGTTTCCAAATAAAAATATAGTAAAAGTTGTCTAGTCCAGCAGAATATATCATTAGTTATTTAAAGTTTTAATCTTTAAAGATAAAGCTTGTCCCCATAATAGTTTAGTCAGCAGTGCTGCCAATTAATTGCCAGAATTTGTCCTTTTACTCCTCTTTTAAAATGAATATTTCAACAAGGGGCAACAGTCCTTAATTCATATCATTTTTCTACCGATAAATTTTCTTCCTTTTCTTTTTTCCAATTCTTTGGTGGGGATGGGCCAAATAACCTACATATGTCCAAAAAGAGGTTATTCAGCCACACTATCCCCTCGTACTTGTGGTTACCAATTATCAGTTAACTGTTTTATTATTGTATTCATTATAGAATACAATTGCTTTTTATTGTATCAATTAGGCATATGTCTAATTGTAGTGTCACACCTCAAGGCCTTAGTGGAGTTTAACACTCAAGAAAAAAGCAACCATTGACAACAGTGGTCTGTAAAAAGAGCTCACTTTGTACATGTAGCAACATCTTTTGGGCCGAAATTCATTCCATGGATATAGTAGGTAGAGGAACATGAATAGTCCTTCTGGATCCAAATTCATTTGTCACATGAAAACCAGTTGACTAGCAAACCTTTCACTTGTAAAATTATTTTGACGAACATTATATTACCTATTACAGTAATTAAGGTTTCTTAATGAAAATAAGCAGTTACCTGTAACATAATGAATTGGGCACACAATTTTACTCACATTAAACATTAGGGTCATGGCAACACAACTCAAGATATAGGGATAATTGCATGGAATCCTGAGATCTGATGTACCATATTTAAAGAGAATGGTCAAAATTAAGAGTTGTTTTTTATTTATTACGTATGCATGTATGTTTTGCTGTTTTTGCTTTTGCATGACTCGTGGTCTAGAAATATGGACTTTGCATGGTAAATGGTTCTATAAGGTCTTCTAATATTCTCTTGCTTATACATGGTCGTTTTTTGCATTTTTTTCTTTTAAATATTTAATGGTATAGTTGTAGTTATTTTTACACTCTGAAGCTCTTTTTTATGAATTTTCTAATTTCTCTGTATTTTCAGGTTTTTTTATGATATTTGTGAAGTTTTCCCAAGTTTTCTCAACATAGTAACATTTTAGTGAAACTTGACTCTTGAACCATAGTCTAATCAAATCAATGTATCATTGCCCATGGGGCTTGGCAAAGAAATTAATCCTTTTGCATGCTAGCTAAAGGAGATAACATTGCCTTCTTCACAAAGACTACTATAAGAACATGGAAACTGAGTCTGTTCCAGACTCCAAATAAATATGTGAACACAAAGTCTAGGGCAAAACAAATCCAATCATCAAAAAACAAAGTATATGAAGTAATTCCTAGACTGCTTTTAGCTAATGTTTGTCATCTATTTGGAATCTTGGGAGAACTGACTGGATACCTAACCTTTGGCACTTTTTGTTGATCAGTAAAACAATTGATTTCATTAATTTAAATAAAAATCAGATTACAAATTAGAGCTGGTATAAGTGAACCCAGCCCTCTTTACAATTTTTTCTTGCATTAAGTGGCACTCTCAGACTTGAACTCACATTGTCATGCTTGTCAGCCCAAGATTTTACCATTACACCAAGCAATTGCCCCTATCTGAAGTAATTCTTGTCCAGTAAACAAAGTACATGCTAATGATTGGTTGGTATGATAAGTTCATGCTAGCATAATCTTCATAAATGAATAACAATTTTCTCTGTGACACCGATCAAAAAAAAAAAAAAAGAAAAAAGCTCTGTGATGGAATAGAAACATGCAAAAATATACATCTCTGCCAGACTGTAAGTGAAGCAGAACCTATTGATATCTTTGAACTCCATCTCTATAAGGTGGACTTTGAAAATTAGATAATGAAAAGATGAAAAAAACAAATGCATTACCTTCAATGTTATTAGATGGAAACAATGATCTAATATCCTCTGGACACAATTTCATATCATCACAGATTTGACGAAGTCGTAAAATAATACTAAGTACGGTTGAGTAGTTGCGGATTACACTTCCAACACGAATGTAATCTTGGACCACATTCTTAGCCTCAGCTTCCAACCGATCATACTGTTGACGCTCTTCAGCAGAAAGATCTATGAAACAGGTCTCAAAGGTTTTAGATGGCAATTCAATCAAACCCTTGTCCTTTGTTCTTCGCAGAGATATGGTCTCCATTAAGATCTGAAATAATTTATCATAAGTGGAAAAACATTCATTTCACTATAATATAGGGAATATTATCTAACAAAATGCAACATACATTTGAAGTTTAAACTACATTCCTTGTTCTTGCCATAAAAAAATAATTTTAAAATCATAAATTACATTTTGGGATACATGATTAACAATGACAAGTATTTATACTGGTTGATTAATGTGGATGAACAAAGTCCAGTGGATTTACCCAAAATTGACAAAGAATCTCTCAAATTTGACAGACACAACAAACATGATCACTTGATATATAAAAAATGCACGAAGCATCAAATGTCCATTATTTTTTTATTGGAAACAATAACTTCATTAAACAGAATTTAAAATACAACTGTCAACCCTAGTGTAGGGGTTTGAGATACAATCACTGAGTCACAACACTGCCCAGAACATGTTCCCCCTAACAGCCCCCTGTTTTGCTAACATATCCGCTAATCCATTAGATGATCTTCTTGTCCACTTGAACTCTTGAAGTAGACACCAATCTCTCTTGTTAGGCTGATAATTTCCTTCATCGACTGTCTATGTATCCATGCACCCAGACTACCTGATTGCATCCATCCTATTACCAGCTTTCAATCCCCTTCTATTTCTACTTATAGTTGTAGTCCCAACTGCTTTGCATAAGTTACACCTTGTGGTGATGCCATGATTTTCCGCTCTCAAAGAGTCACCCACTCCTATTGAGCCCAAGAACAATGCTGAACTTTTGCCATCTACATCTCTGAAAACACCCCCTATACCCGAGGGTCCCGGGTTGCCTATAGAACTGTCATCGAAGTTCAGCTTTACCCTATTTTGTGTTGGTGGGGACCAAAGTTCCTGTATCACAGGTTTAAGGGGGCACGTGCTTGCCACAACACCCCAATTTCTAAAAATATCTTCAGCTGAGAAGTCTTTAAATACATCAATTGTTTTCAGCCAATGGCTAGTTTTTATAGTCACTCAGTCGCTCATACAAGTTCCTCCTTGGATCTAGCCTTGCTTTTGAAAATTCTGTTGTTTCTTCTTCCAAAAATGACCAAAGCATCGCTGCTCTTGTAGCTCTCCACATAATTCTTCCCTGCTTCTTTGGTGCCTGAAAAAATTTGGGTCAAAGAGGCCTACAACATCCGGGGGAGGAGTCCACCCGCAATCAAAGAGAGAAGAGAACCAAGACCAAATAAAGGATGCAAACGGACAGGAAATCAAATTATCAATAGATGTGTGATCGTCTCACCAACTCCCAAGCAGAGGCTACAAACATGGGGTGAAAGGCATTGATGTGGCCGTTTTCTTTGCAGCAAATCCAGGGTATTGATTTTTTGGAACACCACCTCCCAGAAGAAAACCCTAATTTTTGAAGGCACAAGGCTATACCAAACCACCTCTGTTGGAAAGTTTCTCACAAGGTTAGATGACTGTAGGAGGATATCAAAGAAAGATGAACAAGTGAAAAAAGCTGGAGGAGGAAGGTTTCCAAATTTTTCTATCCAAACAAGATTGGCCTAGGTGAATTGACTCAAGTAGATCAACAAGTTTATCAACCATTCCCATTGCTGATTCCCTTAACCCTCTCCTCAAATCCAAATCCCAAGAGTTATCAATAAACACCAAGGAAATCACTTTCCTTTTATTTTCTGAAATAGAATAAATGGAAGGGAATCTATCTCTAAGGGACCTTTCTCCAACCCAAACAACATCCCAAAAGAGCACTTTGTTACCGGCACAGACATCATATTTGAAGAGAGGAAGCACAGTGGGCAATATACCATGAATAGCTTTACAAGGAGAACAACGAGAAGCCCTAGGGTCAAGACCTGCACCCTAACCATTGTCTGGCAATCCAAGTATACTTACAACCACTCTACTCCAAAGTCTATCATGCTCCAACGGCAGCCTCCACAGCCATTTTCCCAACAAGGTTGTATTTCTCAATCTAATGCTACCTAATCCTAGGGACCCATCATCTCTAGTCCTGGAAACTATCTCCCACTTCACTAGATGATCTTTTCTGGAATCCTCCGGTTCCTACAATAAATCGTCCATGATCTTCTCCAGTTGATTTGCCAATGTTTCTACTGTAGCTACAGTAGTCCGAACAAGTAAGGAGAAGAAGAAAGAGAAGGAGAAGAAGAAGAAGATGAAAGAACTGTCGAACCTGATAGCTAAACCCTATCAGTCGACCTCTTAATAGTGATTAGGCTTCTAATTAAATGTACAAGGACTAAACTGCCCCTACTTAAGTATGGGA